AGGAGCAGTCCTACGGAGGCAAGAGAGGAGCCAGCTCTCTGTCTCAAAGGAAGGCCAACACATACAGCCAAGCAAGAGTGCCCCAAGATAGTTTTTAAACACTTTGACATTTATAAGAATAGAGGTAGCCACCATCGAAATAGCCAGACTGTGCTGAGCTCCCCAGTGCATACTTCACGTCTTACTATTATTGCTGCTGTTGTTGTCACTAAGGAAGCACTAGCCAATGTTTGTTGAATGAATAAGTAAGTGACTCCGGGGCTGCTGGTTGGCTGGTGGCACCATTCCCTGAGAGAAGGACCAAGAAGAAGGAGCAAGTCTGGAGGAAGAGCTGGGGTAGGCAATCTCTGAACGTATCAGATAACAGGGCGCTCTGGGTCCTGCTTGGAACTCAGGGTGGTGGGCAGGCTTAGGCAGGAGAATAATCAGATTATTTCACAGTCATTGTGGCGCATGCTCCTGTCAATCAGAAGGAATACAGCTTCACTGCCAGAGCGGAATCGTGGGACTCCTACTGCGCCAGAAGATAACATTGTAGTTGTTGGATTACAGGGAGGATGAGCAGAGAGGTAGGGTAGCCAAGACCCCCAGGGGCTTGGGACAGTGCATATTCACCAACAGGTATAGTTGTACTAGTGCGTACAGGTTGAGCCAGAGCTCTGGGCTTGAAAACAGACAGACAGACCAGGCAGATTGGAAGACGCCAACTAGCAAGGCTAGAGGAAGGGCCCCCAGCTCGTCTTGAGAGACCCCCAAAGCAGGCCAAGGACAGTGAGCACTTACCAGATGCTTACTCAGAGTACCAATGCCATTCCCAGAGCTTCCAACAACTTAACTCAATGGAGAGTAGTTTCCATCACTACCTCTATTTGACAGATAAAGAAACTGAGCTGCTGGGAAGGGTTGAGTGTAGGGTATGATTTTCGGTAACATGCCTATATAATCATGGCTAGAAGGTGGCAGAGCCCAAATTCAAACCTAGACAAAGATCTGTCTACACTTTACTGCCCTATAAGTTGGAGTACAAGATAGAAGGCAAAGGGGGAAATCAGCTAGTGGCAATCAAAGAGGTTTGAAGAGGCTCAGTGGTGCCTTGGTGACTCAGGCGCTCAAGGAGTAGCCAGAGAGGTACTTCTGCAGCTGCTGGGTTAGGCAGGGATTGTACACATATACTTGCTCCAACTGGTAAGGTCTTTGAGAAGTTGGAGGAAGAGGCGATATACATGGGATTTGAAACAGTCTGCAGCAGGAGAATGAGCTTGGTGGATTTGAAAACTGGGGACATCATTTATCTTTGTATGTCCAAATCCAAATGTGGTCCTGAGTACAAAAGCATTATTGAAGAAATATCTCTGAATGCACGAATGAATAAACAAAAACCTGCTTGACCTTTCTCAAACACAGAACTAATCTCATACCTCACCTTCTTAAACTCCTCCCAAGGTGCTCCACCAGTAGCAGGATGAAGTCCACATGCCTTATCCTAGAATTCAAGGCCACCGTGTCACTCACCACCACATCTCCCATACTCAGCCCTTCCCTGCTGCTGTGTGCTGGACTCTCTTTTTTTTCCCCAATCTTCTCAACCTCTTGAGCACTATTTTCTGGTCATTGCAAACCTTCTCACATTTTGGGTGGAGGAACTTTTTCTTCTGCACAGCTCATCCTGGGTGGAGCTGCCAATCACAGCCATAGGCACACAACACAAGTGGGACCAACCAGAATCCTTTCCAGGAATGAAAATAATCCCAGAGGGGAGAGGAGGGCTTCTCTTTCCTCTGAGGCCACTCTCCTGGGTGGTGGAGTAATGTTAGCCTGGAGCTGTGAGAAGCCCCTGCCACGCAAAGAAATCCTGTCCTCCCTGAAGGGAAGGAAGCCACATACAGAGAAAAGCAGAAGCAAGACAGACAGACACACACACACAGAAAGTGGAACAGACGAAGTGACCACATCACTTGAGTCTCTTGGATTCCGTCCTCCTTCCTGGTTTCACAAGCCAGTACATTCCCTTTTGTTGTTGTTGACTGTCATTTGTTGGTTTATGAATCTGACTTGTATTTGCTTTATTGACCAATATTCAGCTGTACTGCTGACAGTTCCTTGAGTTCCATGTCGTCTCCTACTTACACGTGTAACACAGGGTCAGGCAACATGGTACAAGCCATAGATGCAGAGGGTGCAGGAAACATGAGAGTGGCTCTTGTGATCCCCTCTTCTTGTGCCCTCAGTCCTTCTGCAGGCACCACCAGGCAGCCACGTTTGGCAGACAGCGCTCCCCTGGACTTTCCCCTCCACGTTCTGTCTCCCCCACCTCCCATACCTTCCCAGTCTCTTGGTTCCTTCAGGTTCTCCGAAGTCCGCCTCTTCCACAGGACCTGGCCTCTGATATACGTGGATATATGGCAACCACTTCTGTCCTTCTGCTTCTCGACAGGGGACATTGGATGCTACAGGCTTCAGATCTTGAGAGTCTACAATACGGACTCAGAGCAAGTACCCCAAGACCTCTCGTGCAGTGAAGACTAACTACTGTGGCCTATCTTCCCTCCCCTATTATGCCTGAGAGCATTAGTCTGATCCTGAGCCTTAAAATATACTCAGGAATAAAGTGAAGGTTTGGAGACTTTTCAATCACTGTGTTTCAATTGTGTGGCAGGATCCAGGTGTTAAACACACCAGGTGTTCAGAGGAGGAAGCATGACAAAAGGTAAGCAGGTATAGGGGACCGGGGGAGGTCACGGGGGAAGCAGAGTCTGCACTGGCTATTGGCAAGAAGGCCAGGCTAGACCTAGAATGGTCAGGCTTTCCTGAGGTGGGGCAGGGCATGGCAGAGGGACCTGTGTGGCTCACTTAAGTAATCATGAGGAGCCCAGGCTAGTGGCCTTTGGCAAGTGATAGGAAAACCAATGTTCAGTGAAGGCCTTTGAATGCCAGGCCCAGGATTTTGACCATCAATTTCAGAGTCTAACCAGGTCTGCAGTTGATTCAAGGTCTCTCCTGGGAGGGCTGGTAGGCTATACCCTCCTTTGGTGCACAAAGAAGACTGAGAAGCCAGGGCATGAACCTCAACCCTCCTTTCTGGGGCCAGCAAAAGGAGTCTCTCCCCAAATCCCCAGCCCACCTGCCCTTTCCTTGACCCAGGGCCGCAGCAGGCTCTAACTAAAATGGACGGCACCTTCACTTCATGACCTCAGCAGCCTCCCGCCCTACTCCGTTCTGGTCCATGCCAGGCACCCCAACTCCAGCCCCCAGACTTGGTCCTCAATCATCCACCTCTGGGGCTTTCCAACCTATAACTGTCTTCATTCCATGACTCAGAAAGATTCTCATCACTCTTCCATTTAGGAAGTCCCTAAGTGGAGGTTCTGGGCCGTCTGCCTTTTTTTGGTCCTCCATTTCCTTCCTACCTCAAGGACTATTAGGGTGGATTCACTTTGCTGAGTTTCTGGGCCAGCCCAGCTGAATGGGAGGAAATATCCCAGCATGCCACTTGCCTGGTGATTCTGTTTCTCCTGCAGCGTCAAGCCGAGACCCAGAAAGTCACAGATGGGCAGCTGGGAGGGAGAGAGCAGGCAGCCTCATGCAGGGGTCCCTTGAGACAATCCTGGGCACTGGAGTGAGACAGACCCTAGGCCTGATATCAGCCCCACGACTCAGCAGCCACGTGACCTGGAACGAGTGACTTCCTGAGCTTCAGCCTTTTTTGTTTTGTTTTTCATTTGTAAAGTGGAGACAGAAATACTTACCTTGCAGGATTATGAGGAAGGATGAATGGGATTTATGGTAAGTCTGATATTTAATAACTGAGAGCTTATATTTTATCCCAACCTCCTTGAGAGAAAAAGGCAAACTCGCCCAAAGTCATATATTGAGCCACAGTTGATCCTGTTTCTCATACTGGGGCTCTTCTGCCTGCCCCATGCTGCCTTCACCAAGTGGAAGACAACAGGCAGGAGCAGAGGAGCATGATGGGAAAATCTTCCTGTTCTCTCTGATCATCTCCCGGAGGGTAGCACCAGCGGCAGTGACAGGGTTAGCAAACCCACCCCAGGGCCTCTTCCACATCAGTGGTGGAGAATAAGGAACTGGGGAAAAAAGTCAAACAGAAGAAAGCGCCTGGAAAAGATGTTTTTATGTTCACTTACGTGAAAAAAAAGAGGAATCAAAGAATATAGCATGAAGATATATGTGTCTCAGCAAATTCATCCTCATGAACCTGTTTGTTCAATCGCAGTTATAATTCAAGAATTGCCAAATGGAAGTCACAGAATCAGGGTGCAGGATCGGGGGGGGGGGAGGGCCACCAAGGGAAAGGTAGTAATTATGTGCTATTTCTTTTCTAGTTTCAGATCATTTGGCATTTAAACTTTTCCAGCAAGTCAGTTATATAAACAGATGCCATACTAAAATATGATTGTGTAAAAATATAAAACTCCTAAAGCATGATGGCAATAATATTTTAGGAAAAAAAACATTAAGGTCTGGTAATATCAGAAAATACAAATAGGATCATTTTGAGCGGTTCTGTTTCTCTTTATGAACAGCAGTTGCAAACAATGGATATATATTAAAGAATAAAGCATTCGGTCCGCACATAACTTAGAAAGGGGTAGCATTTCTTAACACTGACTTTGTAAGAATACATAAAGGACATCTTACACTCAGCAATGGTTAAAAGGAGGAAATTACTTTCCGAAGGATGCAGTGGGCAGGATGCCAGGCCTTTGTTTTCAACTTGCTCTTAACCATGTTGGGATGTGTTCACACTGCATGGGGTTTCCTGCAGAATCTAGCACCAATAGATGGATCAGATTTTATCTTTGATCTGAGTCCTTTATGTCTTCATTTTTGAGTGTACTGAGGTATGTTTTCTTTGGTTGCTGTTGTGATGAATATGTAATAAAAAAACTAATATTTACAACATTTAAACATTTTAGATTTCAGTGTCAACTCTTCACATAAGAAAAAATGGAAAACTCTTAAGAATCATGGGAAGGTGGTTACTTCCTCGCGTCTGTCATGAAACTGTTTTCAATACACAGAACAATAAGCCTATTAGCACAGCTGTACACTTTCTGGTCCAGAATCTTCCCCGTGCTCAAAGCGGAGGCCAAGCCTGTGACTGCCATGTCAGCGGTTCGCCATGCTTCACAGTATTGGTCCACGAGACGGACTCCATGGGTGCTTGAACCGTGCCAAACCACCTTCTGGGGCCTAAAAAGGAATTTTGTTGTGTTACTTTCTGAAATGACCCTTCTTTGTGGTATATCTCAGTGATGAAATTGGCATAAGCCTAGTGAGTCAAGTCAAACTCCTCAACCGTCCAGAACTGGTTCACATCACCTGTCTTCATCACTGTTTTCAACTTTCACAGTATACTCCAACTGTATTCAGCTTGTTCTTGTTCTCAAGTCATACTCTCTGCTTTCGTGAATCTGAACTTTTGCTCACGTGGAGCAAGACTTCTTTCATTTTCAGACCAGCGATTCCTTCTTATCTTTCAAAGTTCATTAAATGCCTCCTCTTATAGGAAGCCTTCCTGGTTCTCACCACCAAGGGATGATGAATATTTCCTCTGTGCTCCTACCATCTTATCTGTTTCTCTATTTTCCAATTACAACATCTTGTTGAGAATTGTAGCTAATATCTTACCACAGACTATGAGCTTTGAAAGGGTAAGACCTATATAGGTTTATCACTGCGCCTTCTGGGCCTGGCATCTGGCCTGGCATAGAGTAGACACTGAGGAAAGGTTTGCTGAGTTGTTCTGTTCTTAAAAGCATACCTAGTTTTCAAAGAATCAGAGTGCAACTCACAGTATAGGGTTAAAAGATCACCAAGAATAGCATTACTTACCACTTATTAAGTGTCTACTGCATGCTAGATGTTCTCACACTTATCTTTTTATCCTCATAGCAATATTATGGTATAGATATGATTATCTTGCCCATTTGAAGGGTGAGGCAACTGAGGCTCAAAGAGTGGAAGTGCCTTGTCCGAGGTATTCTATTCAGTTACTGGACTCAGGTCTCCTGGCCCCAAGGTCAGGGCTTTTGCCATGGCCCTTGGCTTCCTCACTGAGGTTTTATGCTGGCAACATCCCAGAGGAGCAGCTGATAAAGGCATCCCATTGTTAGACTGTCTCCTGAAACCATCCATCACATGATATACTTCAAGGGCTGCCACCCCTACTTACCAAGAAGGGTCTGTCATTACATCTCGGCCATCAAAGGAATATATTGGAACGTGTGTATTGAATTGACCTCCATTGCCAGAAAAAATTGACCCCCAATTATTAAAAAGCACTTGGCCCTATGGAGACAAAATGCTACATTAGAATCATTATACAAACAGCCTGCAGATGGACTAGCTATTATCCATTTTTCAAGGCTCAGAAGCCCCCAGCCCCAACCCTAGAGCCTGAACAGAGTGAGAACTCAGGAAATGCTTGTGGCTTGATTTTCTGATCCATCCTTGAATCTTTTTGGCTTTACTGTCTTATTTCTTGAGGTCATTTCTCTTATTACATGTGTATAATAGCTCCTACACATCAAAAGTGTGTTTGAGGTATTTATTATTGCTATTTTAAACATTTTATTTGTATATACTGAGCTTCAAATCTGCACCAAGCTTGTGCCAACCTACATGTGGGGGAAGTGGAGATGAATCTCCTACTCTTTCTTCTGAAGGAGCCCAATTTCCCCCAGTTATTTGTATTTCAAGAATAAACAGCCTGAGTGGGTGAAGGTGGTAGAAGAGAACCTTGGAAGAGGCGATGGAAAGTGCTGGGTGTGGGGTCAGGAATGGACTTGCCAGCCTCAAGGTTCCAAACTGGAGTATGGGGTTCACAGGGACCAAAGGGCCTTGAAGTACTTTTGACACCCTAGTTAGAGGTCAGGACCCAGGATGCAGTGAGCAGCAACAGTGCTGTCCCTCTGCATCCCAAGGAGTAAGCCATTTCCGTGGTGTAACTGAGGGATGCTGCGAGGCATGGTGTTGCCAGTGAATGAGGGCAGAGAAATATCTGAGAGCACCAAACCAGGCTGCAGGATAGAGTGGCTCTGCTCTGGGACCAGTGCTCACCAGCGATTCTATGGTGCCACTCAGTCAATGCTCCACAGAAGGCACCCTCGGGTGGAATCAAGAACCTCAGACCTGGGAGTCAAGGAAACTAATTCTGGTTTGTATTGACTTTGAGCAAACTGCTTTCTCCCTGTGAGCCTCAGTTTCCCCATCTGACAAACTGAGAAAAGAGTAACTCCCATTGTTACTACAAGTATCTATTAAGATAATGGACATTAAGAGCTTTGTAAACAAACAAAAAAGCTCTATAAATAAAAGAGGTTATTACTATCACTTCTGTCTGCTCCAAGGGTCATAAACCATCCAAGCAGGAAGGGCCAGTGTGCATATAAGGAAACTGAGGTCCAGAGAGGGAAAGTAACCCACCCAAAGTCACACAGCTAATCAGGGCCTTGAAACAGCACACTTCTGATGGTGTCACGAGTGGCAAGAGCCTCCAACCCCTGTGGAGACCAGTGCATCTGGGAGGCAATGAGAACAAGATTTATTTTTACCTTGAGGTTCACTATTGGAAGGCTGTATCTCTCTGCTTTCCTCACAACTGTGGAGAGATCTTGCAAATGGGAGGATAAGAATGCTCGGTAGGTGGACAATAGTCCCGCAGCCCTGGCCTGCTGGAAGCACTGAAAATCAGCTCGGATGTCCCCAGAAAATGGCATGTTCAGAGCAACCAAGTGCAGCTGAAAAAAAATGAGAGAAAAGACAGTGCAGCTGAAGAGATACAAGCAAACTGCAACCCCCATCACAGTCTCATGTCCCTAAAAAGATCCCAGACTTACTGTAATGGAAGGCACACTAGAGGTCACCTTGTTCAACCTCTACCTGACACTGGAATTCCAGTCCCTGTTTGACCATCTCCAGTGAAGGAGATCTCAGGTCTCCCAAAGCAGCCTGTGTCAGCAATCTGAACAGCTCTAAACAGTAGTGATTTCTTCCATATATGAGAAAAACAGAAAAAATGAAGCACTTCAGAGATCCGAACCCAGGCTGCAGGCAGGTCATGTGTCGGAGACTTCTGGGTCTGCCCCTAGGTGAGTTTCTAGGAGGTTTTTAAGATGGCTTTGACCCTAGATCTCAGAGCTACATCAAGCTATCTGCCTCCCCCTCTTTCCTTCCACCTCCTGAGTAGGCCTGGGCAGATCATGAGGGGCCAGAGGGAAAAGGCACTGAAAGGAGAAGGTCATGATTATATTACTAAGACTGCTGGGACAGACCCTTTTGGAAACCAGGGGTCAAACAGTAATTCTAGCCTCACATTCCTGCCATCTTGGTCAGCAGCCTGAATAAAAGCCATTCCATAATCTGTTTTCTCCCACATTTTCTCTCCCCAAAACCAGCCTTCCTCTGCAGCCCTCTCTCCTAACCCTGTCTGCTGACCCTCCGGAATACATTTCATAGTCAAGGAGCAGACATCCCCTTTCTCAATCTCAGGTCAGGAGTAACTTTTATCTCATTAGCACAGAGCTGGGGACGGCTGATGTGGGGCCCAAACCCAAGCTGCCAGAAAAGAAAAATATCAGTATCTTAAACCTGTCTTCCCCCCTCTTCTGTGAATGAAGACTGGGGCCCCCAGGAAGGAGGCCCTAGGGTCTCATCACCCTGCAGCCAGTGTGCTTCTGGCTACACCCAAGGGCAGTCACAATAGGCCTGGATGGAACCCACTTCCCTGATCACAGGGGACACCTCGGAAAGGGGCAGCGGTGACCGTGGTGGCCTCCTGCCACACCTTTAATCCCACCCCTCCCCCTCCCCTTCTTTCTTTAAGGAAGGGCACTGAGAAAAGTCTGGAATGAGGTCTGCTGCTTCTGAATGGTGGGACAGAGGGTTTTTGTGTTCTCATGTTTCTTGATCTTTAACTGCTGGAACATCTCTATCATGAATAGACATCATTTTTAAGAAGACAATGACACTTCAACAATCAGATGTTAAAACACTTGTTTTGTGGATGGTTATAGTTTTGTAAAATTATAAGTGATTCCTTATCTTCCTCTCCATTCTTTTTAGTCATTGTCCAAATTTTCTATAATGCATGTATATTACTTTAAGGCTTATAAAATAATACTAAAGAAAAATTTTTCAGCAACTGCCCTATCGTCTCTCCCCTCATAGCTAAGTGTTTTGAAGGGTCACCTATACTTGCTTCTCTGTTTCCACACCTCCCATCTACTCTGTAACCAACTAGAATCTTGTTGGTGTCCCTCCACGCTACAGAAATGCTTTCCTCTAGTTTCTCAATCTGAACGAACCCTTTAGGTCTTCTGATGGGCCTCTTAGCGGCTGTCGGTTGGCACTGTTGGCTGCTACCCTGCTTGGTGCTCTTTATTCCTCTCTGATGACGGCTTCTCAGTTTCCTTCTTGTATTTCAGTTCCTTTTTGTTTTTGCTCCTCACAGTCCAATCTCTTCTCACCATACAGATTCTCTTTTGGGAATCCTACCAACTCCAACCCAGTTGCCATGGCTCTGCTGAAGACCCCCAAGTCTCTGTCTCTAGACCAGACCCCCTGCAGAGTTGCAGCCCTTCAGATTCTATTTCCTTCCAGTGGTCTCCACCCAGATATCTGACAGATACTGCAGACTCACTACGCCCCACGCTGAGTTCCTGATCAGTGGACATGATAGGAAACGTGTTTCTGTTGTCTGCCAAGCCCATGCCTTGTTCTTTGAAAGTGTCCCCACAAGACTTGCTAAAAAGAGTGACCTTAGGCCATTCAATCTCATTCTCTTGGCTGCTCTAGATTTGGCCAGGAGTAGGCCACTGACCGCAGATGATCCATGTAGACTATCTCTCCTAAGATTCTGAACGGAATCAGGCAGTGCTGGGCTGTGCAGCACTAAGATCACACAGAGTTGGGGCCAGGATCAGTGCCAAGGCAACCCAAAGCCATGTGCACGCTTTGCAGATGTAACCTACGTCCATGTTCTGGGGTGGTGGGGGGAGGGAAGGCAGGAAGAAAGCACTTTGCCGAGGCTGATCTGTAGAGACAGTGGAACAGACTAATAGCACAGACAAGAGCCCAGAGGCTCGCTGTACTTCCTGCAAGTGAGTTCCATGAGGCTCCCAGGATTACCTGAACAAAATCTTCACTTATGCTGGTAAAGGAACAGGATGCGAGTTTCTAGGCTTAGCACAAAATGATCCGTGGAAAGCGGTCTATCACCACTCAAGTACCTAGGCAGAAACCTGGGCATCATGCCTGATGACCCCCATCCTCACAGTGACCAGATGTGTCACTCCTGCCTCCTTTTATTTCTCTCCCATCTGCCCACTTTTCTCCATGTTCACTGCTGGGACCCTCGTTCAGATAGTACAGTAACCACCTAACTGCCCTTGGGTCCCCAGTCCTGTCACCTCTAATCTATTTGTACGTTATAAGCAAGATAATTTCTGAAATGCCAATCTTACACACCCTTGTCTTGCTTAAGACCCTTCAGTGCTCCCCACCACTCAGTGAAAAAGGCCAAAGCCCCTGGAGTGGCTTACAGGTCCTTCATGATTGACCTCGCCTTCTGCAGACTGTACATCTCCCTCCCCTGCCTTGAACTCCACTCCTTCAGCAAGACTGACACATTGGGAATTGGAGAAATGTAAGTGCTCGCCCTTGCTTCCTTCGGTTCCATATTCTCTCTGCCTGGGACTCCCACTCTCCTCCCCCTCCCTGGCCCTCTCCTGCTCTCAACTGTCCTTTAGGTCTTGATTTAGAGGTCATTTCCTCCAAAGAAGGTAGACTTCTTTGGCCTTTCAAGCACCCTGTGTTTGCCTCGCCCAAACAACTTATCACACTGCACTGGAATGACCTACTTTCTGTTCACCTCTCGCGCAAGTCTACACGCATCTTGAGGGGAGGAACTGTGTGCCAAGCACAAGGCCTGGCACATGGTAAACACACAGGCAGCATCTGCAGGGTAAATGCATGCATAGTACTTACTGCAGGCCTGCCGTAACTGACACTTGAAACAGACATCAGAGGCAGCTGAGGCTGATGAGGCTGTTACGTAAAAGAAGAAAAACAAACAGTCCTGAGTATGTATTCAGTCTTGTCTTCAGCATACATTTCTTGAGAAGCTGCTTTAAACAGTCTGTCATGGGCTTTGGACCACGCTCTACTGTGAAGAGTTTTATGCACGCATGAAAAATGATCCTCTGAAAGGGAGGGGATATTCTCAAGACTTAGAAATCAAGGAAGCAGAAGCCCCATGTTTTACCACCAACTCATTCACTTAATAGAGCAAGGCACCTCTTCAGAGCCTCAGCTTCCTCACATGCAAATCGAGAATGACAGTACCTGCCTCAAAAGGTAGCTGTCGGGTTAAAAAAGTAGACGATGTAAGTTGCTGGTGTTCTTATCAGGCAAGGAAGTCTCTGTGCCAAATATTAAAGGGTTCTTCTAGATTGCTTATGCAAACTATGATTTCACAGATACATAAACTGAGGCCGAGAGAAGGGAAGTCCCTTGCCCAAGAGGATTCAGCCACAACGTGGGACCAGCAGGTCTTCAGCCTCTAGGTCCGGTTCTCCCTCCATCTATTGTGAGAACATTCTGTTGGCACTTGGTAATTTCTGGGCTTCTGCCAGACAGCGAACCACACAGAGCTGGCTGTCTAGAGTCTGGAGAGCTTAATACTGTTTCCAAGGGGGACCCAGTACATGCTGATGAATGAAGGAGCCAGAGGTAAAGCAGGGAAGCCACTCACATTGCTGGAAAGTGCAGGGGGCGGAGGGCTGTCATCCGGGATGGGGATCAGTTCTCCCAGCTTTAAGGAAAAGTGGACATTGAAAAATGACACACCAAAAAAAAAAAAAAAAAAAAAAGGAAAGAAAGAAAAAGAAAATGACAAATCAACTACAAACCGTTTGCCTATTTTCAAAAGCGAAAAATGGCATTTACAGAAATGGACTGTTATTTTTAGGGGGTATTTGGAGGCAGTTTGTTAAAGGAAGTTTAAGAATTACCTGTAACTTTTTCCAACCATCTCGGACACGAATGAAGAACTCGGTGCTGTCCCTCAGGTAGATGAACGTCCCTTCTATAACCAAATGCGCTTTCTGTAACATGTCATCCATGTTGCTCAAAGCTGTAACCTGTCAGATAATGTTAAATTCCAACACTGCAGTGAGCGTTAGAGCGGTACACAATTTGAAGAACTGGTCTCTTTGTAAAGTCAAATATGAGCCACCCCTTCCCAGTCATTGAAGAGGCTGACTGTGACTTAGAGAGACATATAACTTCATTAATAACCAAAAGACTTTCTCGCTGAGAAAACAAAAATATGCATTACTTGGAAACACAAACCTTAGTCACAATAAACAAAGTAAAACAAGGAAGACATTTAAAAACTGTAAACAGAGCTGGCTTTGTTGGGCGTTGGTATCGGTAAAATCATCATTAAGTTTTGCCCCTTCCATTTGTGTGAGCCGCACAGCGAGCGGACCTGACACTGTTAAACATGTTATATGCACGCATGCTGCTCCTTAAAGAGTTTCAGATTGGTTTTCACTTGGAGTAAGAAATGCAAGTAAGTGAGCAATTCTGTTTAGGTCTTGAACCTTTTTTTTTTTTTTTTTGGCATGGCTAGGTAGTTCCAATATTAAATACACAACAGAAAACGGTGGAGGAGGGTCTGCCGTTTCTCTGACCAGGAACTGCCAAAGATTAGACGGGCATCTTGGCCTATCCATGCACAGAACATAGAAGTTGGAAAAATCGATCGAAAAGTATCAAGTCTTGGAGAAATACCAGCCAAGGGAGCTATTCTTTTTCTCCTCAAACGAGAATGATTTTAAAAACTTAATCTTCACCTCGCCTTGAAGATAATGACTTTTTGCATCCAAATGGCTTAGACATTCCCCAAAGGCACCAAACATCAAAATTCCATCAATTGTTGGACAGTTCTTCATCTGGCAGCCAAAACCTCCAACTAAAATCCAGCAAAGACCAAAGAGCAGTCCTAAGACTCCTGACATCCTTAGGAGTTGTTTGCCCCTCTTCCTGTGCGTCACAATAACCTCTGTGCCACACCTGCTCCGGGGATCTGCAGGGCAACGGAGGTACGAGAAACATCCTTTGGTATAGTGGAGAAGGCTGAATCACCCAGGTGAAATGTGACCAGCACAGGACTCCTGGGATACTGTTTACACTTTTGTGCTTATGTCTTGTGATGTGATGCAACTCTAGGCAATTAAGGATTAGAAGGGTGCAATTTAAATCATAAATGATTTTGTAGTCTGTACCTTCTTAGTTAGTAAGTCATTCAAAGAGATGATAGATAACCTTCTTCTGGGGAATTTCACCCATTCTGTTGTCACAGAGGCCTAACTCCAACATAGAAGGTGTGCCAGCCCCTAAACACTGCAGCTAAAGCTCTAAGGAGACCCATGCAAAGCAGAAGGATGAAGACACGCTAATAACACTGACCAGGTTTCTGGTTCCGGGAAGCCCTGGCTGTCCTGGAGGGCCAGGTGGACCTGGAAGGGCCACAGCTAAGACAAAGGAGAGAAGAGAAGTTACCAAAAACACACTCTCTGCAACATGCCTCTGAGGTCAGCTGGTCACAGAGGGGAGTGTTCGCCACCCTACTCAGCGCTATAAAGCGCGGCACCTTTTAACCGACTCTTAGGAGCTCTGTGCCCAGCATATGACTCAGCCACACTGATGGCTTTAGGGCACAGCTGAGATTCTTGATCGTAGCCCTGGATGAAGTCATGCCTTTTCGGCTTTAAAAGTGAATATATCCCTATTGTTACTGTTGTTTGTGTAAGTCAGTCTGAGTTGAGTTTTCTGTCACTTGCAACCCAAAATGCCCTGACTCATACAACTTACTTCTCCCAAGAGACAAGGAGGTCATTACTGAACAGAGGTAGCAGACTCAGAAAGAAGGAGAGAAGGTGTCAGGCTGTAGGAGAGCAGGGTAGGGGCCCTGGCCTTCCAGCCAGGAGACTCGAGTCTCTGATCTGCCCATTCTTAGCAGTGTGACTTGGGGCGGCAACAAGCCCCCTGAACCCCAGCTTCCTCATCTGTGAAATGTAAACAGGTATTTCTTCTTCACTAGGCTGTGTTGAGATGTGAGACAAATACTAGCTAGGAATGCACTTTGCAAATTATACAGCATCCAACTAGAGGTTCTTAGCTTTTAAAGAATCACAGTGCCCTTTAAATCAGATCACTGCATGAGATTTTTCAGGTCACTGCAAGGGAGTCTGCAATTCTGACACAGGACTTGAAAATTCTTACATAGGTGGTGAAGGTCTAGTGGAGAGAGGGTCTGAGGACTTGGATTTGGACCCCAGCCGCGTCTCTTCCTAGTATTTGTGAACTTCAGCCAGTCTCTTAACCTCTCTGAGCTTCGGTGCCTTCATCCATGAAATGAGTTTTCTAATCTGATCCATTTCACCCCTCCCAGGGTTGCTGTGAAGATCAAATGGGATGATGCGTATGGGAGTGTTCTGTAAACTGTGAACTGCCATACAGGATGGGAAGGGCCATCCCTTTCAAAGCAGCAAGGAGCCCTGGGCCCCCAGCTTAGGGCTCCTGTGGACAAGAGTCTCTGCATCCTGTTCTCACCCTGCAATGCCCCTCAGGCTCCTGCACTTCCAAGTTTTTCCCTCAAGGTTGAACAGGCACCTATGGTTTTATCCACCCAGCACCTTCCTTCCTTACAGGACCAGTAAGGATTCTCCTGAGATCTTCCCCTCACTCTACAACCATCCAGGTCCAGAAGGAGCTGTCACGTTCTCATGTGATTCAGCCTCCTGGCCACAGGAGACTGGTCCAAGGTAGGGCATCTGGCCCAAGACAGGTCAACCAGAGTCCTTCCCCAGAACTACCCTACCCAGGACTTTTCAAACTGAAACTGAGAAGGGCGGCCAAAATTTCTGGATGACAGTGGGAGCCATCGGTTGTCAGTATTTCCTGCCATGCAGAGGATGTGGTCTGTGGCGAAGCAGCATGAGGCTGCCTTTGGAAAGAAGCTGAGAAAGAGATGGTCAGACAAACCTCGCAGGGGCTGAATCCCTGGGTCTGGCTGTACCTGAAGTCTCACTGCATGTCTGCCCTTCCTATAGATGGACTGCCCACTGCCTCCTTCACATCCAGTAAGTTTCCCTTTTGCGTGAGCTAGTTTGAGTTTCATTTCTGTCACTTGCCCCAAGTTCTCCCTGATGCCCCAGACAACATAGGCCTCTTCCCTGGTGTACTTCCCCACACCTGGCTCCTGCCAACCCGAACAACCAAGAATGATGCCTTCAGGCTGTTACTGCTGCTACTGCTATTTCCACCACGGGCACCATGGAAAGAACACAGGCTTTGGAGCTACTCTGATCTGAGTCCTAATCCCCCTGGTGCCACTTATCAGCTGTGTGATCTTGGAAAGGTTCCTAAACAACTCTGGGTCTCACTTTACTCATCTGTAAAATGGGGATGCTAATATTTTCCTCAAAGGGCTTTGTGAGAATCCAGCAAAATAATGTAGTAGAGTGACCAGCAGAGTGCCTGACACTTGCTAAGTATTCAAAAAATGGAGATTTTCTATTTCACCCATTCATTTGAGGTAGTGAAATACCAAGGAGTGAAGAAATTTTTACACAAAGGGCTAGAATCAATGCTGATCCTCAAGTTCCTTAAGGTCCAGGCATCGACAAAGCAGCCATGATGCTTCCACCCACACATGAAAAGATGCTCAACATAATTAGTCTTTAGGGAAATGCGAACCAAAACCACAACGAGCTATCACTTCACATGAATGAACGATGTCTAGAATAAAAAAGATACAATAATAACAAATGTTGGTGACAATGAGGGGAAATTGGAATATTTGTACACCGCTAGTGGGAATGAAAAATGCTGCAGCCACTCTGGAAAACAGTCTGGCAGTTCCTCCAAAAGCTAACTGCCAGACAGACTGTGACCCAAAAATTCCACCCCCAGGTACACATCCAAGAGAACTGACAACAGATGTCCACACAAAAACTGGTACACGAACATTCAGAGGAGTGTCATTCACAGCAGCTGAAAAGTGGAAGCAACTCTGATGTCCATCCACTGATGAAAGAATAAACAAATATGGCAGATCCATATGATGCAATGTTATTCAGCCATAAGAAGGAATGAAGCACTGATAGACGCTGCAATAGGGAGGAACTGTGAGAACATCACGCTGAGGGAAAGAAGTCAGACACAAAAGGTCACATATGGCCTGATTCCATGGACATGAAATGTTCAGAATAGGAAAATCCATAGAGATGGAAAGTAAATGAGGGGTTCCAAGGTCTGGGAGGAGGAGGAAAAGTGAAGTGGCTGCTAATTGGTACAGGGTTTCCTTCTGCAGTGATAAAAATATGTTCTGGAATTAGAGGTGATGGTTACACAGCCTTGTGAATACACTAAAAAACCACTGAACTGTACACTTTAAATGGGTGAATTTCACGGCATGTGAATTCTATCTCAATTTTTTTTAAAAAAAGAAAAGAAAGAAGGCTCTATCGAGGAAACAGCCCTCAGTCGGACAGTGTGGCTCTAACATGCCACTCAGATGTGGTGACCCTGGGCACCACTACAGTACTGACCTGCTCCTAGGATAGCTGGAGGTCCTGGTGGCCCTGGGGGTCCTGGTGGCCCAGGGGAACCAGGCCTCCCAAAGCCAGGTGGACCAGGCAGGCCAGGAACACCCGGGGGTCCCTGGGGTCCGACGACAGTCTCCCCCTTCTGGCCCTGTCAAGGCAAGCGCACAGTAACAGAAGAGAGAAAATGCCATCGGTCATTAGAAGTCCTGTCTATTCTTTTTGTCAGGACATTTGTAAGAAATCAATTATCCCTCATCCTGGGCACACACCAGGCAGTGTAAGTCCTAAAGAGCAGCGGCCTGGTCACTATGCTGAATGACACAGCAGAGAAGCGCAGGGAGCCCTGGACTCATTGGGGTCCCTGCAGATCATTGGTCCAGGCTCGGCATTTCACAGGTGGAGAACTGGAGGCCTGGAGAGGGGCCAGGGTTTGCCCAAGCTCTCAAAGCAAATTAGCAGCAGGGCTGGCAGCAGAACCCTGATCTTCTGGCTTTGCTGGGTCTACGCTCCTGGCAAGCTCTGGGCCCAGACTTTGCTCACAGTCCCTGAGGGTCGATGATCTGGATATAACCTCACTGGAGGCATAATCTGAGTTTCTCCTTTGTGACCTGGAGAAGCTTAACATCCTAAGAAGATCAAGCCTAAGGAAGGGCTCCTTCTCTGATGAAATTCAGAAGAATCAAGTAGCTCCCCTAAAAATATCTCCCTCACTTTCCATTCTGCCACTAATATCTGATGTGTTTACCATCAATAACTTTGTGTTGAGAGAATGTTCCACCACTGAAATGAATAAGGCAGCATGGCTAGTGATCTGGAGGTCACCTGCGTGCGCATGGACTTGGCCAGCTCCCTTCCTTCCATGGGCCTAGCCAGGCCCCCCAGCAGTTAGCAGCGATGGTGGGGAGATGTCCATGCCCAAGGCCTGCCTCCAGCTGTGGTGCTGGGACTGACCTGGCTCCCCAGCCATCTGGTCACACTGGGGGTCTTCAAGGAAAGCCATGACTCGTCAAGGAAGAGAACATGGAGGGGTCACTACTCACCACCGGGCCTGGGCTTCCCGGCAGGCCCGGAGGCCCTGACACGGAGAAGCCGCTGTTAGAGTCTCCCTTTTCTCCTTTGAACCCCCTGTCTTCATTCTCCCACTGGAAGCAGAGAACATTCCGTAAGTGTTGGACAAACCAGTCTCTGATACAAGCCTGAGAACACAGAAACACAGGCCAAATGCTGAGAAATGCCTACCTTCAAGCTATTCAGAAAATGTCTCAGGTAAGTGGGATCCACAGGAGGGCCTAAAAAGAAACGTTTTGTAACACGCACAATCAATCTCAGTCAAACACAAAAGCCTTCAAGCCGGCAACCATGCTGAGTTCCCAGCAGAAGTGACCCCACATGGGTTTAGCTGACAGAGGGGGCACTGGGCTCAGAAACGAGCCCTACAGCCTGGATCCCGAGACTTGAGCACGCCCCTGGCCCTCTCTGGGCTTTGCTCTGCATGTGAAGCTGGAAGGACTGGAACCTCTGGCCTCTCTTGACAATATTCCAACTTGAACATGTGTCACCCATGACTGGCTCTCTCTAAACTCCATGGAGCTTGCGGGCAGGGCGGGAATTTAATTATTAGCCTTACTTACTGGCTCAGTTGGATTTCTCAGAAACGAAAATCAAGGGCAAGACCCAGAACAAGAGTTGGGATACCTGGTGGTCCCTGGGCCCCCTGGTCGCCTTTTTCTCCTTTTGAGCCGGGAAGACCCCAGGATCCTTTCTCTCCTTTAACACCTGTCACCAAATGCACACACATTAAAAAAAAAAGATAGTGGAAAATCACCTGCATTCCACATAAAACATGTTTGAGCCAAGTTTTCAAACTGAGCCCCTTGAGCCACATTCTCACCCAACAAAGGCCTATTAAGGGTATACAGTCCTTTGCTATGTGATGGCGAGGGCAGAGGCAGACGCAGCAGACGCAATTCCTGACCTTGAAAAGCTCTCGAGGAGACAGACGCAGAGAGGTAGTATGAGGCAGGGCGGACTAAGTACTGCCCTCAAGGTACCAGAAGCACCATGGGAACCCGGCAGAGGCTACAGTTAAGTCTTTCTCCGACAGCTTCACTCGTGGCTTGAGACTCAACACCAAGTCAAGCTCCCAGTCCCATCTCACCTAGGCCTGTGCAGCACGGTGGTGTCAGGGGAGGAGAGGAATCTCCCAGGAGTGCTGCAGAGGATAACTAAGAATGCTAAGTATGCCACTTGCAAATTTGGAAGGATGCCAACAGTGCAGTACTCCCCATAGGACTTGGGAGTAGCACCGTTTTTGCAGAACTGGCCTCACTGCCGCCCTCCCTTCTCCCCCAACTCTTTATCTGGGAGAAGGACTCAGAGTGGGGCTCCTGGGAGTACAGTCTGGGAAGGGAAGCCATCCCCATTCCCCACCGGGATGAGTGGGTGGACACTAGATCTTTGAATTCCTGGTTCCTGAGAGAGATCAACCAACCAACATGTGCCTAGAGATGCGGTCACACAGCGTAGGCTCAGGCTTCCCCAGCATGGGGGAAGGAACGGAAGCGTCAGAGGCATGGGGGTCAGCGGAAGATGCAACAGCATCTGGCAAGGCCTCATGGATGCTGGGGGAGCTGCCAGAGCTGGGACCTGGACAGCCAGGCCCGAGGGGCCTCCACCCGCCCACAGTGAGACCACAGACTGTGGTGAGGCCCAGAGGAGAGGACGGCAAGCTCACCACCCTCCATGTGGCTGCTCACCCCAGGGAGCAGGAGGAACGGCTCACAAGCAAGTAGGATGACAATGGGGTCATGGGGTCTAGAAAGGTCTGTTCCCTCTCTCTCCCCTCAGAGGGACCCTCAGGGAAGGGGAAACACTGGGGATCTGAGAGAGCAAGTCCAGCTCCACCCCCTCACCCCGAGGTCCACCTTGCACCAGGGGAAGGGAGAGTCTCACATTGGGTGGGGTCTGAGGGTGGAGTTTGGGAACAGCCCGGACACTGTAACTAAAAGTGACCCTAAGACTATGAAGCCACATACCATCAGGGACACCACTACCTGGCAGGCTGGGGGTGACACAGCCAAGCCAGAGGTCAGTACTGGGGGGAGAAAAGGCCTTTCCCTGTATAAACTGCCAGTGTTCAGACTTCTCAATCAAAGGGGCACACATGGTATGACAGGGCGTGTGGGGATGGGGGACCATCATCACTGCTTACCTGCGGGCTCCTGTCTCCTGGCCTATCCCCACCTGATGTGTGGTAGATCAGGCCGAGATCAGGCTGATGTTTACTGATCAGACACTCAGGGCCAGCACGTCTCACACTGTACAGCGCATACACCTCAGCAGGGAGCTTGTGAAAACGCAGCTTCTGACCCGGCGGGTCTGGGACATGGCCCGAGATTCTGCATTTCCAACAAGCTTCCCGGAGATGCTGATGCTGCTGGTCCAGGAACACTTGAAGCCAAGGCCTTCTGAGCTCCCATGGCCTCCCCTGCATTAGCTCTTGGTACACTGCATAGTAACAACTTTTTAGCAGTTTAACCCAGCAGAATCTAAGGGCCTAGGTGGCAGGAAGAGCAGGGGATCCATCTGTCTCAGCCCAGAGAGCGGGCAGCACCAAGCGAGGAGACACTATCTGGGACATGTTATGCACAAACTAACACACGAGTGGGAAAGTGGAGTGCTTCCTGCTAGCTAGGAGGCTCAGCTAAGACACGTGGAACAGGCAGAGGGGAGACACAACCAAACAGAGGTGCCCGGTCCTGCTTCCTTGGTTCAGCTAACACCCCTCCCACCACATGCAGACAGATCTTCCTGACCACCTAGTCTACGCCCAGCACTGGGCAAGTGGAGACCACCTTCTGCAGAGCTGTGAGGCTCAGGAAACATCCCAGAGAAACATAAGGGGAAGAGGACATGTGTACCATGAAAGGTGATGAGTTCTGAATTCCCGGGATGTGTGGTACCAACCTGGAGAGAGAGAGAAAGCCAAGGTCAAACACTGCAAACCCCGCTCTGGCATTTGCATGCCCAGGGAGCCAGAGTCTCGTCCCAGGGGGCCCGTGGCAGGAGGGGCGAGGTCATGGAGTTAGGCATTCCCTGGGTGCTGGAGCCTCCTTTTGTCCCCACTTTGGGAGCCCCCTGAGCTCCTCAGCATCCCTCAATGCAAGGCCTTCAGTTGGGGGTCCCAGCAAGTAGCTGAGCTGAGGTGAGACCTGCTGGCCAAACAACTCTGCGGAGGGAAAGCCCAAAGCTTTAAGACGACAAGCCATGTCAGTGTTGGCCTGGCCACCCTCAAGCACTCTTGGCCTCCATCCTGATCGATCAGGATTGATACAAGTGAGAGGTCAAGCATTTGGGCAAGTGACGTACCCAAGCCACGAAGCTGGGCCAGCCATTAGCTTTGCTACTGCGTGTAATCAAAGACAAGCACACAGGAGTCAATGGTGGTAATAATTAATAAGTGGGGATTATCATTAGATTTGGGGGTGATTCTGGACTTCCCATTAAGTGCAGGGGTCTGGAATCCAAGCTGTTCAAGATAAGGTTCCTTCACAGTCCATTCCCAGATCCCTGCATTTCTTTTTTTCTTTATTAAAACAGGGCCACCTGCCACCCTGCTTTTAATAATCCACCATCATCTCTTTCTCAGTTAATACGCAGGATCAAAATGACCCCTCTGACATCAGATCCTCCCATGTTTTGGGTGGAGGGTCACAAGCTGCTCCGGGGTCACCAAGAGAAGATGGGGAGAGGGGACAGGGATCTTCCAGGAAAGACATTTCTAAGTTAAGGATAAAGGCAGCAGTGCCAAGCTGATATCTTACAGCTATGCTGATAAAATTCCTCTACTTCAGGGTGAGCTGTAAATTAAGGTATCAGAAAGGGGCTGAAATTAGAAGGGGCTTGTGAAATACTGGATGTGAGAGGAAGTATTTCTGTTTCAAGTGTCAGATTTAGGGGCTAGTCAAGAAATGTCCACACCCCAGCTTGCACAGTGTCCAGCCAGGCAACGTGAAATCAAAACCCAAAATGCTCTCAGCTCATCTTTGGTTTCTTCTAAGTAACTTCCTGAACCCCAAAGGCCGCGGCCACTGCAAAGGGTCCTAGCACAGGTTGCAGTAATTGCAGTAGCATTTTTACAACAGTCTTGAGTTTTTCAAGTGCTGCCCTGTGGTTGGGTCATTTGAAGCCTGAAATCCTGTTTGCTGGGAGGGGCTTGGGGCACTAACTCATGGTGGGACCTCGCCTCTCTGGGCTGCAGTCTCCCCTTCTCCATGGTGGGAGGCAGCCATCTCCCAGGAGGGTCCCTCCAGCACTGACATTTTAGGTTTCCCTTCAAGCCACTGATGTAAACATGACCTGGGCAGCTGCTGTCCTCACGTAGTTCTGGGAGCCAGCAGGCCCCTTAATCACCTTACACAGGTGGGTCCTGTCCTCTGTCTTCCAGGCCAGAACTCCCAGGCTCTGGGCTGCAGACTTGGCTGTCTCAAAGTTTAGACATGGACAGATGTCTGGGCAAACACTCAGCTGAACTGCGTCATTTTAAAGCCTCTGACCCAAGCCCCAACACCACTCCTAACAGGCATCAATTACGAACCCACTTCAAGGAATCTTTCTAAATTATAATTTGCAAGCTCCCGAGAATGGAGGGCCACGCCTGTCTAGTCCACCCCTGTGTTCCCAGGGCCTCACAGAGTACTTGGCACTTGGCAAGTCCTCGATAAATATTTGTCGAATGAATGGGAGAATGATTATGCACAATTCCGTGACTAACGCCTGTGCACGGGGAGAGGCCCACCCTCCCTGGGTTTCCACAGGGAAATAGGTCTCTAATATGGATGAGTCCTCAGGGACAGTGCCACTGACTAGCTGGGCGACCAGGCACAGGCCTGACCCCTTTGGGGTCACGGTACCTGTACCTGCTGCCTGGTGGTCAGGGGACGTGTGTGACAGTCCCAGCTCCTTCAGTCACATGTCCTTAGGTCAGTGAGCTTGTTTGAGTCACAGTTTGTTTCCTCATTATAAAGGGGAGAGAAAGTCCCTCGTCTCAGGGTTGTGTGCTGTGCAGTAACACGGTAATTGAGAAAGGACAGTTACAGATTTTAGCCCACAGCTCCCAGTGCAAAGAGCACTGGTTGGAATTGCTTTTTCACTCTCACCTGTATTTTAAGGGATATATTTCCCCCCTTTTTATATCACTCCAAGCATGAAGCTAACATGCTAACAGGAAGCTAACAAAAGACACCGCTTTTGACTGCATTAAAAGAAACACTGTCAGCATGTGTGCCCTTAGAACACCCAGTGTGTTTCAGTACCGCGGTCTGCTATCTAGAAGCCTCGAGTCACTTAAGGGTCCATATGTAGGCGATAGAAGATATCAAAGAGGACACTGATGGATGGAAGGGGCTCAAGACAAAAACATCTTCTCTGAGTTGCTTTTTAAGCCAAAGTCTGCTCTTTAAGGCAGTAACTCTTCAAAAAAAGCTACTTACTAGAGTTTTGCAGTGTGGCCGGACTGGTATCGGGAAGATGGCCTGTGGGAAGTGAGAACAAGAGGAAAGGGAATCAGGACACCCGACGGATGCCAGCTTAGGCCACTCTGGGGCCATTCCCCGCTCCCCTGCAATGGTCCCTCCCCCTCCCTCCCCTCCCCCAACTTACTCCTTTGATGTTAATCACAGCTCCAGGTGGTCCTGGGGGACCTGGAGGACCAGGTAAGCCAGGTGGGCCCTGAGGAGGGGAAAAAAAGGCCACTCCTGAGTTCAGGTTGCTGTCAGTGCAGAGGCAGCTGCAGGACCCGTCCCCACGGTTTGGAGACACGACAAGGAAAGAGGGTCCTCTAAAGGCAGCTAATTCTTCCCACAGTAGGCCAGTCTCTTCCCAGAGCACGTCGACATTCCTGGCCTTGCTGCATCGTCACAACGGCAGAGCAAGCATTACTGCTGTTTTACATGTGAAGATAATGAAGGCCAGAGAAGGGTTGTGACCTGCTTAAGCCCACACAGCAAATCACTGCAGAACAGAGACTGGAAGCCAGATTCTGACTCCCAGAGCCGTGCTCAGCAGACATGGAGCCCACCACCTCCATTGGCGCATCCCTTGTATGGAAGGGTAGGTGGGGTGGGACTTCCCTGGATACGGTGCCTGGGAGAGTCCTCCATAAATGAACAATAAACGCCAACTCCTGTTAGATGGCAGAGTCACTTTCCAAGCCAGGTCAGCCTGGCCTTGACACTGTGTAATGTTTTCTTTCTCCGCCCAGCCTGGAGCCCAAGCAACAGAAGGTGGTGGTAGTGAGGCTCTGACCGCAGGTGAGAGGCATTTAGCCCGCGCAGAAGCTCCACGTGATCACTCAAGTGGCGACATCAGCATCTGCTGCACCTGCCGCCCCAGCGGGCCTGGCAAGCATGAGTCAGTCCCCAGTGACTCCATACAGCTGCTTTTCTGGGCATACGAGGTGGAGACCGTGTGGTGCAAACAGAAGCAGCAACACAGTTCTAGCTGCATTGCATCTAGCAAATGGGGGACCTTCTAACTTCTACCGGCCCCAGTTTCCTTTTGTGTAAAACAAAGACCCCACAGAGTGTCTCTCAGGAGAGTTATTATCAAGACTCAGATCCTGTCCTCAAAAGCACTTTGTAGAGTGTCTGGTACACAGTAAGTGCTCAATAAACATTAGCTCCCTTTTTTCAGATGCTGGACCCTGCTGATGCTCCAGTGTTTGATATCTTGTAAGGCCCTGCCTGAGCTGCTCACCTATCTTCAATATTCTCTCATGAATGCTTACCGAGGCCCAAGCGATGTGTGGGCCCCCTGGGACTGAGTAATCAGGGAAGATGGGATATTACCCAAGTCAGAAGACCCGGGATTTGCAACCAGGCATCTTGAGGATGTCAGATCGCTTTCTCCCACCCTCCCTCTTGGGCTGGATGAGGAAGCCTATGCTCCACTAAGGTGGATTTGGTGGTAGGGACCTCCTGAGAGCGAGCTGGAGGACACGGTTGGGTTGGAGGATCTTTGGAAGAAGATTACTGAGCATTCCGCCCATGAGCCCTGCTCACTGGACCTGGCACTTGCCCACCCCTCATCTGGACACCAGCCTCTGGGCGGCGTGGGGCTGGGGTGCAGGTGTGGCACTCACCGGCATCATGACCCCTCGATCTCCTTTGGTGCCTTTAAGGCCATTCAGTCCTGGGCGACCCTGAAACCCACAAGAGATGCCTTAGTAAACCCACCGCCCACAGGCCAGCCTGGCACACGTGTCCTCCCTCCCCTGCAGTCTGAGGAACCCTGACACCTACAGGTCGTCCAGGGAGGCCAAATTCTCCTTTGTGTCCTGGTGGTCCTTTGGGCCCCTGGAGGCAAAGCAAATACCAGATTAGAAAGAGAAAAATACTGTATGATGTTACTTATGTCTGGAATCTAAAAAATCCAAACTTGTAAAACCAGAGAGTAAAATGGTAGTTACCAGGGGCAGGAGGGTAGGGGGAACAGGAGAGGTGTGGTTTAAGGTACGAATTTGCAACTAGTAGACAGCTGGGTCCTGGAGATCTAATGCATAGTATAGTGAATATGGACAACACTGTATATGTTGTATATAATCATCAAACTCACTAAGAGCCTAGATCTTATTTATTCCAACAACAAAAAGGAAGTGATAATTATGGGATGTGAAAGCTATCTCTACGATGGCAATCATAATATATAAATGTATCAAATCAACATGCCCATCTTAAATGTACACAATGCTGTATGTCATATATATTTCAATTTAAAAAGAAAGAACAGAAATTCAAGGGCCAGGGTGATGGGGCATGTCCATCCAGCCTGTCTCCGTGGGCACTGGTGACAATGAACCATGGATAGGACAACGGAGGGCAAGGAGCAGTCATGAAGTGTCCACCTACCTGGCTCCTCCCCCTCCCCCACATCTCTGCTCACACCTGGACCCACTTGCTCAGCCTCTCCTGCAGGCTCTACTCCATCTCAGACTCTGGACTCAACCCTCTCAGCCAGTCAGGGCTAATGAAAGAATAAGAGGTCAGCTTGGGGCCTCAGCTCCCAGGTAGCCATGTGCAGGGCCAGCTCAGAACAAAGAACTTCACCCTAGGTCTTATGTCCCAGGACTCTCCATGTCCCCCATTGGAATAACGCAGCCCTGCCTTGCCCCTCATGCCAGCCTGGCCAGATAACCTGCTCCAGGATTTGTTTCCTGCCTTGCTCCAGAGTCTTGGCCTGACACCCCACTTCTCCAGATGAGTCCCTAACCCATGGACCCCGTTGTGGTGCTAGCTTTCTGTGTCCACATGCTCCCACAGCCGCTATTCCAACCACCTGCAAGAACCCTCCTGCCCTCCAGTATCTGGGATGCAAACAGTGCACTACTTGTTCCCCGATCAAGCTCAGCCTCCAGTCTACACCCTCCCTTTCCTGTAGCTGGATCTGTCCTGTCTCCCAGGGGAACCACTGGTTTCAGCCTTGGGCCTGTCAAGTCCTTTCTTCCTGGTGCCATTAACATATATAACATACATAACATGCCCTGAAAAATGGCAAATAAAAACTGTGTTGAGATGGGCTCTCTATGTAAAGCACCCCACAGGGGTTACTCTTAGGAAAAGAAAAGCATAGAGTTAACAGGGCACAGGCCACACGGTGGTATGTACCAGTGCAGGGCTTCTCAATCAGTGTGCATAGGACTCACCTGGATCTTGTCAAAGTGCAGCTATAGTAGATCTAGGGTGGGGCCTAAGCTTGGCTTTAGCAGCAAGCTCCCAGGTGATGCCCATGATGCTGGTCCACGGGCCATGCTTTGAGTAAGGAGGCTCCAGTGAATTTGTAAAGGAGTCGTAAGCTATACTGGCACGAGGGAAACAGACAGCCCATATGGCATCTTATGCAAATTAGAAGAAGGTGCCCCCTACTCTCCATGCTTGGCAAGCTATGCACAGCTGGGCTTTGGTGGGGAACGACCACCCTGGCCGTCTACAGCAACCTGCTCCCCACCACTGCTAACAATGAGTATTTCCCACCATATTGGAGGTTAGTAAGTGGCTGACCAGTGGTTAACACAAGACTCTCCCATGCTGCCTTAGCCTTCAGCTAGGGCCAGGGACACCTCTCCAGGGCATCCAATCTGCCTGACTTAAGAGACCAAAGGACTTAGATGATGCTTTGAAGATGTACCTTGGAGGTTATGGACCCTTCGTCAAGGACACGTGCCTGTTAGATCAATGTGAGGTCCTTTCTCCCCAGGCCTGAGCTCCAGCTTTAAACAAACCCCACATTCAGACCCCAATGTGCAATTCTCCAGCCTAAAATATTTCAGAAGAATGAAGGTGTTAACTGGAGGCAGTGAGGTTTGCAGGGAAAAACCTGGACACAGAGTCTGATAGGCTGGGTTCAAATCCCCACTGTGCCACTAACAAGCTATGCGGCAGTGGGCAAGTCACTTAACCTCTTTGACCTCAGTTTTCTGGTCTATAAAATGGAGGCTCTGACATTCATCTTTTTGGGTGGTAAAAGTGAAATGAGATGACCTGTGTTGAAGCATCAATACAGTGTCTGACCCACAGTGGAAGTTCTACAACTCAATCTTCTTTGTTCTTTGGGGAGAAATATATGACAGGGAAGTTTAGGACTCATTGGGGAGAGAGCTGGAAGCTTAAAAACTGTTTAGCAGCCCAAATGTGCTACAGATTCCTGGAGCAGTAAGGCAAGCAGGGCCCTATCATGTCACCTCGTACTCATTAATACCCCCACTTACAGATGGGAAAACAGAAGCCCAGAGAGAGATGAGGACTTGTTCAGGAACCTTACAGCAAATGAGCAGCAGATCCAGGACATGAATCCAAAAAGCCCAGGTTCCCTGGCAATCTTTAGCTGGCAAGACCTGTAGTGTAACTGTGAGTGCTCACCACCGTCTGCTTCTCCTCGCCTTCCTGGACACAAAGCTGAATCATCTTTCTGAGACCTTCCCCCAACCCTGCCACACCCTACCAGGCATCTGAGGTCGTGCCAGTAGAATGTGCCCCAAATGAAGTTCATCACCCTCCATGGTCTCTTCCCCTCCCCAACCTGAGAGCTGGAGGCTGCCAGTGCAGCCATGAGTCCACAAGATAGCAAAGTCACAGGATACAAGCACCCTGGGTCCCTGAGTCACTGCTTGGAGGGGAGATGCCCAGCTGGGAACAACCACAGTGGATTTTGCAAGAGTGAGAACTAAGCCGCTGTTGCACTAGACCACTTCATTTAATTGCAGTTAGTCTACCCTGACACACACACATTTGGCCACATCCTTTTTATTTTCATGACTAGAACAACTCAATCTAGTTGAGCCAAAGTATGATAAATGCTTCAAACCCCAGTCTGGACGCAGCTGAGAGACACTGGCTTACCATCGGTCCTGGGGCTCCGTGCGCTCCAGGTTCACCCTGAAACAGGGAGACACAGACTTGTCACTCGGAGAAATAGTCTGGAGCAGAAACAATGATGGGACTCTGAGGCAGAAGTGCGCCTTCAGGGTCTGGTGACATCATTACCTTTTTGCCCCTCAGCCTTTCCAGAGGAACATCCCCCGTCAGGATGGCACCTGGCTCTCCCTTCTCGCCCTGCAATTCAGAGAACCTTTCGATGAGGTCGGGCCTCCACCTTGCCTCCTTTTCCAGAGGCTCGCTAGGGCCTCAAAGTCCCACCGCCATGATTTCTCTGGCCTCCATCCCGCCCCTCCAACCCCACTGCCCCAATGTAACCTTTAGCTAGAGTATTATTACAAAAGCCTCCTAAGTGATTAAATGTTCTCTGGACTGGTCCCTCCAGGCACCATCAGAGTTACTGTCTGAAAGCACAGGCCGGGGTCCTGCACGTACCCCCAGGGCTCCTGCTGCTGCCAGGTCAGCTCCCACTCTCCACCCTGCAGGAACCAGCCCAGCATGTGGCTCCCCTCTGGGAACCTCTGGTTCCAAATCTATTTGGTAGCTTGCTTTCCTAACAACTTGACTTGAGATCTGTTCCTGCTCAGAATCCTGCTTCTTATTAAAACATCTGAATTTGGGAAAGACATGAGAGCATGAACAGTGGAGGCCTCTCTCAACACCGGGGCCCTGAGTCTCCATGTGCTCCAAACTCCATGCTCCTGTGCACTTACTTGATCAGGGAAAGTCATCTCAGTTGCTGGGAAATGGGGGAGATGTGGAGACCGGTGGCAGGGACACAGGATCCTGCCCCAAATCCTGTCCTCATCAGGGCCATCTACTAGCTCAGGAGGCTTCCGAGGAGGTATGTATCAGAAAAGGCCAGGGTGAGGGGCCATTCAAGGATTTGGCCCCAAACTTCAATGCTGGCCCCTGGGGAGCCAGGCTGGACTACACGGAAGTCCCCCTTCAACAGAGCTGGAAGCAGCCAGGGCCGTGGTGCCAAAGCAAGCAGAGCAGCCTCTCCTCTGCATCTCCCTACGCCCACCCCTGATATTCAGATCTTACCACTCCGCTGATGAGGAAGAGCGGTCCTGGGCACGCCAGCAGCAAGAAGAAGCAGGCACAGAAGCATTAGAGGCAGAGTGAGAGAAAGCGTGTTTGCTGCAAAGGTCGGAGCAGAACTGCCTGGGCGCCCATCCCAGTTTCCAAGATGGCAGAGGATTAGGGGTGGGGATGGCACAGGTCCTTTTAGACCCAGCCAACCTTGCCACATAGAAAATAGAGTGTTTAAAGCAAAAGCCACTCTTGCTTGACCAAGCCTCCTCCCAAGCCAGAGCTACCCGGGCCCTACACCATCTCCACAGGGCCGTGGCAGCAAAAAGCATCTCGAGACATTGCCGCATGTAGTGTCAAACTTAGACCCTTCACTCAGCACGCTGAACCTACCACCCACTGGAACTGTGGCCCAACCAACACTGGAGTGTCTCTCCTCCTTTGGGGGGCTAGTATGGAAAGGGGAGGGGAGGAAGGAAAGCAAGCAGCCTAACACTCCCTCCTCTTAGAGACACACCCACCCTCCTTGACCTGAAGGCAGGCTCAGGGGTTGCTCCCACTGGCTTTGTACAGACCCCCATTACAGCAGTGGCCATGCTCCTTGCTGGCTCTCTGCATGTCTCCCCGGTGCCCAGTGCAGGAAACTTAGGGAATGGACGTGAGTTGGATGAGTACATAAGTCGACAGATGAATAAATGAATGAATAAATCCAATCCAGGGGCTCTGCAATCTGTTTATGGATGTCACTGTCCCCTTATCTACAAAAACCAACTGGGACGTTAATTCTAAGAGGAAAACGTGGAAGGGTACAAAGGTCAGGTCAGTGCCTTTGGAATTCTCAGGAAGTGCTCTGCATTCAGAATATTTATTCCAAAGATCCTGGACCAAGTCTGCCATTCAACTGCAGAATGCCCCGACTTCTTATAATAATAATAATAACAGTAATAATAATAATTTAATAACATAATTTCTAAACATTAGCATTCATTATATCCATTACTTATACATTCTTTCACCCAACAAATGTTTTGAGTGTCATTTGTGCACCCGGCTCAGTGCTAAGGAGCTACAGTAAAGGAAGTGGACGCAGCCGCCCTCAGGGAGGGCACACTGTCATGGAAGGGCCCCGCAGGTGGCGAGACAAAGCACAGCACATGTGGGAACAGCATTCAGGGAGGGTTGATTGAGTTCCCTTTCCAAATGATGATGAAAATCTATTTCTCTACCCACCCCACCTTCACTCAGAGGAAACCCGAGGTCATGAAAGTGCACAGCTGGGGAGTGACTGCTACTAGACAGAGAGGTTCTTTGGGCATGTTCTAGTATTCGATAGTGGTGATGGCTGCACAACTTCATGAATATACTAAAAATCACTGAATTTCACAATTTAAAATGATGGATTTTATGGCATGTATGTGAATTATAGATCAAATTTAAAAAAAATGATAGCTACTCTCAGCCCATTTGAAATATTTAGCAAATTCAAGGGCACGATCCTACCCAGATACCCAGGCCCCTCTTACCTGTTCTCCTTTTAGTCCCGGAAATCCAGGCACACCAGTGTCACCTTTTGGTCCTCTGGGACCCTGGAAGGAATCATTTGAGGATATTTAGTTGTTTGTTAATATTAAAATGCTTTAACCAAATGGAGTTTTTTTTCCCCCCCAAAACTAGAAGACTTTGCAATTCCCCTGGCAGGTGGAAGTCACAATCAGTCATAATGTTTTCCTGATTTCAAGTGGTCTAGAAATTGTAGTCTGGTGGAAAGAAGACAGAGTCGAGTGTTAGGAGGCCCGGAGGCCACATTCCTCTCTGCCCTGTGGTTTCCTCCAACTGGCACCACTGAAACAGCCTGGTCCTGCTGCCTCTGCTCACCCATAGGTCCTCAGGGCCATCCTACAGCTGTCTCCCCTATCATTCACCCTCCATGACTCCCAGTTCCTCCCTGGCTCCCCACTACTTATGGGATGGGAACCAAACCCCCTAGCCTGACACCCAAACGGACCCCAGCCAGCCTCAGCACCTCTTTTTCCACTCCCCTCCCTCCTCCGGGGGGCGGGGGCGAGCCTTTCCCTTCAGCCTTCCTGCAACCCACCCCCACCCACCGCTGCCTCTGCACTTCTGCTCATGTCATCCCCTCTGCAGAACCAGTCTGCACACCCGGTCAGAGGGGACCTCGTCTCAACTCCAACAGGCACTCAGTATCTGTGACAGTGATTCACACAGCCAGACATCTGCTCCAAAAAAGGGTTTCAACACTTTATTGCGATCTAGCTCTCACACGTCCCTATCTTCTGGGTTAACGCGATGGCCTTCAAATATTTGTTATTCTTTTTTTAGCTATGAAACTCTTTTCATTCTTTTTTTAAGTAAAATTTTACACAAAAGCCCAATGTATAAACCAGGTCAAACGGAGCCTCGTCAGTGGTCTGGATCCTGCTTATTTGGCCCCCTCCTTACTCTTAAAGTGGCCCTGAAGGCTCTTCTGAGGAGCCTGGGGCTCCCTTGGGAACACAGAACCGCTCATTTAGAGGAAAATGCACCTGCAACATGGCCTGGTTTGGGCACAGCCAAGCTGGGGCTGGAGCTCAGAGCCCCAGCTTTTTCTTCTCCTAACTAAGATGGCTTCTCCATGGCCGCCACCTTCCTCCTCCGTTTTTAATGTCTAGTTTCTGTGTAGTTTTAGTGTCAAAACAGGATATGCTCTTTTCAGAAAGTGCAAAAGTTCAGAAAAGTATTAAAAAATTGAAAAAAATTACTTTTAATTCCCCCATCAAGAACAAATTTCTGTGTGTTTTTGATAAATTTCCTTCATTTATCCTAGGCATTAGGCCTCTGAGAGATGCAATGTCTCAGAGAAACTGCAGATTTCACTCTGCAGCCTTGGGCTTCAGCACAGGTTCAACCTTTTAGACAAAACTCATCATTTTCTACACAGAAATGCATTTTCACCTTCCAAGGTGGAAGCCCCATAGTGTGATACACACAGATTATTAATTATTGGACTTCCAGGCTATGATTCCCTTCTCTCCATCTTCCGTCGTCACCAAGCCTCTAGGAACTTTATCTAATTGGGCTGTATCTACTTGAAATGCTTGACTCAGCCACTCGCATTCACTGGAAGCCAAACACTGGCTTCCACTGTGGCTCCAGCTGGCCCTGGGCTAGAAAGAGATGAGCAAGACCCGACCCTCTGCAAGCTGGTCACAGTACAGTCAAGGAAAAAAGGATAAGGGCAGAAGTAACTGTTACTCAAGGCAGAAAAGAATGACAGCAGAGGTGAAAGGAAAGCCCTGTGGGACTCCAAGGAGGGAAGCACCACTCCAAATGGGGGAATGAGGAAAGGCTACTACATGAGCAAGACAGTGCTAGAACTCAGTTGTGCAGATGGAGAGGAACAGCATTCCAGGCAGAAGGAACAGAATGCACACAGCCATAGGGCACAGAGGAAGATGGCTACTGCAGTACTTACTGGAAATCCTGGCAGCCCAGGCATGCCCTCAGGGCCCTGTGACATAGCAAAGAGAAAGCAGGTGGGTCATGAGCTGCATTTTCCAATCAGCAAGAACACTACACCTCAGGGGCCCACTCCCTCCAGGACCACAAAGTGGGGCTCATGATCCATTTTGCAGGGGAGAATGCCGAGATCCAGGAGGGGAAGGAACCATGCAGTCCTGCAGTCCCACAACTAGTTAGCACAGAGCCAGAAACCGTGCCCAGGAGCTCCCCCTCTCCCGAGCCAGGACTCTTGGCACTTTTAAGTCCAAGCCTTCTCCTCCATGAAATCGCTCAGCATCTGAAACCTCTGGGGGAATGAATGAAACACTCGATCTCAACAAAGAGTCTCAGAAAACCAGTTCCTACACTCAGAGGAGTGGGCCCAAAAGGTGGGCTGGGATGTTTGGGGGTGGAAGTGGGGGCACTTGGTGAGACTCAGTTCTTTTCCCTCAGTAAGAGCACATGGGGCCAGGACTCTTCTTTCTGCAAGCCCAGATACCCACATACCTATTAAAGCATTAGAGTTTTGCAAATATATATACAGAAAGAGATAACTGGATGACCACAGGTTTCTCAATACATTGCACAGTCATCCCTCAGAATCAGGGATATTGGTTCCAGGACCTCCGCGGGTACCAAAATCTGCAGATGCTCAAGTTGTTTTTATATAAAATGGCATAATGGTTGCACATAGCCTACATACATCCTCTGTATAATTTAAATCATCTCTCGATTACTTATAATACCTAATATAATGTAGATGCTATATAAAGAGTTGCCAGACGTGACAAATCCAAGTTTGGCTTAAAATTTTTTTTCAATATTTTCTATCCAAGGCTGGTTAAATCTGTGGACACAGAACCCATGGACACAAAGGGCTGATATATACAGATAGTGTATATCTAGGAAAGCATAAGGGTCAGGTGGGAGGGAACTACCGCTGAGTAGGAAAATCAATCCTCCATTAGGGATGAAGGGGAACCTTGAGGGCCTGGATTTGCCAAAGAGGAGGGCAGGGATTTGGGAAAGAAGGAGGATTCTTGGGTGGGGAAGAGGGGGAGGGGTGGGGGCAGACAAGGCCCAAGGGCTCTTCAAATGGAGATACCAATCCTTACATTTTAGGCTATCTGTGTTTTGCTTTAGAATCAACCCACCTAACACCCTAAGCCTCCAATAGTTTGGGGAAGACCAAGAGGCTCTGTGAAATGACTTTTGCTTGTTTGTTTTAGGGCTTGACTATTTGGGTATTTTGAGTGATTTTAATAGAAATCAAGGAAAGGGCTCCCCCCCGGATGTAGCACAGAAGAGACAGTGAAACGACCCAGCAAGAGAGGCCACTCAGCAGGAGACATCAGCTCTAGAAGGACCTCCCAGATAATTGCAGAAGCCTTGGGGAGGGCACTGAATTCTCCCCAGGATATGGATGGCGGGGGTTCAGGCCACACTGGGGACTGCAGGGGCAGCGGCCCCAGCAGACATCTGGTTTGCACAGCTGTGGAAGTAGAAGTCTCAATCTCTATGTCAGCTTACACAGAGTGCCCCAGTTTGCAAAGCAGTTTCACACCCATCACCTTTTATAAGCCACCACAAAAGCTGGTGATGTGTTATCAGAGAAGAGGATCAGAAGCTCAGAGTGGTGTGTAGCAGAGATGGGGGTGGAGGCCTAAGGTCAGAGCTCTTTCCTCTCTCCCCACCTGTCAACAGATGTAGAAGATGCAATGGGGGTTCACTGCACAGGCTGCAGGAGGAGGCTTCCTTCCATGGACTGACTCTGGGGACTTGCAGAAATAAGGTAGCTTCTTTGTGTGTTCCTGATCTCTACATGGGGCCAGAGAGACTGAAACCAGTCACATATCCTCCTCATGCACCAGTTTACCCATTAGCACAAGGATAGGTCTCTCTAGGCTCCTCCCATTCTGGGAAATGAGATCATGTAAATAAAAGCAGACCCAAAGCACCATACAGACATCAATCAATTTGTTACCTATGATTCTACGATTTCCATTACACATATTTCTGATGCATAAGAGTGGAAGCTGCCACTGCACTGGACAAATCTCCCTGCACAACCCAATTAATGTGGTAGCAACTTCTCAGGAATGTAAAGTTCTCTTCCATTCTACTTTGACGCACTCTAGCTCTGTGCTTTAGGAGCACAAAGGATTCCAAACCAACCCAACTTAGTTTCAACGGGGGTGTCTGGGCAGGAACCTCACTCTAGGGCAGTGGTGGATACACACCGGAGGCCCGACCAGCTCAGGAATGTCCGAGAGATTCATGAATCCATGCGTGATGTTGACCAAAGACTGAAAAGAGAAAAAAAATCAGACAGTGAGACAGAAGGTAGCCTGTGTTCCTCCTTGTTCCTGGCAGTGAGGCTGTACCTGAAGCACCTGCATGGCGGACAAAGGCAGACACTGGTAACACCCCAACTCACTTTCAACACACCCTCCCACTCCTCGTACCATAACCCCAGGCCGCCTTACCACTGTCCTCTTACGATTAGTCTCAAAATTGCACCATACATTAATGCCTTCTTTCTTTTACAATTCTAAAGATACATTTATATATTTAAAATACACGTGCCAACAGAAAAGTGTGGTTGGGGTGTGTGTGTGTTTGTCCACATGGTTATTTTATACCCATGGCATCAGGTTGCATGTATCAATCTTCAGCTTGCTTTTTTCACGCAATCATACAGCATGTAGGTCTTTGCACGTAGAATTTTTGGATACGAACATTTTTAGTTCTAACAGATTGCTGTCAAGGGGCTGTACCACTTATATTTCCAACAAAGCATATGAGATTATCTCTTTCAACACACTTTTACCTACACTTGCTATCTTTTAGTCATACTTAAAAGAAAAAACACTAATCATTGTTTTTTCCAGTTATTTGGGACTTTTTGTCTGTCATCTACCAGCATGAGATCATTCCTTTCAGAAGGGCCACAATTTTTCACTATCATTAACAATGTGATGTTCTAATATTCAGTGGACTGTGATCTGGTCCCAGCCCATAACCCAGGCTGCTCTACAAATTTCCATTACTTTCCACCCAACCTGGTGTCCGACAGCTCCCTGTGCCTTGGACACACCCATGTTTTTCTATTCTGTGCTTTGGCTCAGAGTCCTGACCGTCTGAATCCTGGAAGTCCTGTTATCCATGCTTACTTGGTAAAATCCTTCTTAGCTTTCAAGTTCCTGCTCAAAGACACTTCTTCCAGAAAGTCTTCCTCGATTTCCCATATCCTAAACCATCTTTCCTCCCTGTTTCCCCCACTTATATTCCTTGCTTCTTGGTTACAGTTCTGTTAACACTCATTCTCCTGACTGTAAATGCTGTCAACCAGAAGAGAGAAGCGTTATGTGAGACAATAGTGTACTGGGTAGGAACAGACAGGTAGGCCATGCTGGGAGGTGAAAACTCTGATGCTTGATGCCAGCTACATGCCTTCTACATCACCAGTAGCCCTGCAGGCCCTGGAGTTGTGGACAACTTTCTCTCCCCTTTAGCCAAGGCAGAAAACACACGGCCACACTCTGACATGGTGATACTCACACTAGACAAGACCTCGATGCGCCCTGGTGGCCCCCTGGGGCCAGGGGGTCCTACAATGCTGGCTCCATCCATCCCTCTGTCGCCCTGGATACAGCAGTGAGAATGGGGAAAAAAATTCACTGTATGTGATAATGCTTCTAGAACCAGGCTGTAAATTTTTCTCGCCCCCTCCTCAGATTTGTAACCTCACCTTAGGTCCCTGGTCTCCTTTTTCTCCTTTGGGACCCTGGTAAAACAAACAATCAAATAAGTATGCTTTGGGTTTTTTCTACTCACTTGGCTCACTCTCCATCTATCCTCCCATCTTACCATTTCTCCCTAAGCTCCCCCAAGGATTTTGTCCCAGATAATGGGAGCAAAAGATGAGGGGCAAATTCCCCTTTCAGAGTCAGAAGGGGATAGAACATCCCAGAGAGAGTGAGAGGACCAGAGGCCCTCTCCCAGCATGGGATGAGTGCCCCTCTTAACCCTGAACCTCAGAGCCCTCTGCTTCTGGAGGATGGGGGAAGGTCTTTGTACTCAATCATGGAGGGGGCTGTGCTGCTTCCCTCTGTGAGGCTCTGCTCCTCCTGGACTGGTGTGCTCAGCTCTAGGTACCACTTGACAAAGATAGTGAGATCCTGGGGTTTGGTCCTCTTGAGAGCAGTTAGCAGAGCAGAAGATGGACCACACCTCCCCAGGGCTGGATGCAATGGGAAGGGACACCTGTCAGGAGGACAGGGCTTTGAAATGGGGCAAAGTGCGAGTCCTGAATGGGGCAACAGGAAGAAAGCAATGAAGCAGAGATGCTGGATGGCACAGGATTGGAGAGGGAGGGATATAAAGATGGTTTTCAAGTTTTCCCACAAGATGTTTTGTGCAAAACCTCTGTGCTGCTCCTCAAAGAAGCAAGCTGTAAAAAGCAATGGCCTCCCCACTGCAAGGCTGGAAGCTGGAAGCACAGAGAGGGTGAATTATTGAGAATCGCAGAGCCAGGATGGCACCCCTCAGCTTCCTCAATCCAGGATGACAGTCCTCAAAAGTCAACGTACACTTGAAGCCGTTGGTCCAGAGATTCTGGGTTCATGCAACAGCCTGATGCTTCCAGAGCCTTCAGTATCCTAGAGAAGGAAGAAGAATGAGGATTTCAGATCCGATTCAGATCCTACTTGTGCTGGGTGTGGTGCTGGGAGCTGGGGCTCAGTAAGGAATCAGCACCACCTTGGCCCTCAGACCCGCGTTCAGTTAGCTGGTCTTTCCAGGAATCCTTGGAGCACGTTGCTTTTTAATCACAGAAAGGGGGAAAAGTACCTCAAATCCAAGTCCCGTTGCACATCCAGGGCCTGGGGGCCCTGGGGGTCCAGGAGGCCCTGGGGGTCCCATGACCCCAGGAGTGCCAACTTGTCCGTTTTTCCCAGGGGGTCCTGGTAAGCCTCTGTTGCCGGGATCACCCTGTAAGAAAGAGGACAGGCTGATTCTCCAGCCCTGGGTTCACTCATGGAAGGAATAACTTTCATGCTTGAGTCAGAAAAAGCATTCTTTGAACAATTAGTTGGATGGATTCTCTGATGTGTGCTGCTTAATTGTACAGAGACAGCGGTCTTGCCAAGTGATGTTTCACTTGGAGATAAGCTGACGGCGCTCATTGAACGCACTTGGGTGGAGGGGGTGAGAAAGGAGAAAACTTGGCAGGTTATTGACTCCCCTTCAGCTCCAGCTGCTCTGCCTTCCCCAAGCAGTTCCTTCCAGATGTGCTTCTCTCTACTTCACGACACTGATACGTTCAGTACCCCAGCCCAACAGTCCAACTGTACTAAACCCAGAGAGAGGGGAGGAAGGAGGAAAAAGTCTTTTCTTTGTCTTGTTTTACCTTTTCACCAACTGAGCCATTAGGTCCTCTTTCTCCCTGAAAAAAGAAAGGGGGGCAATGAATATATATTCCATTAGGTATGTTCAGAAGAAAATGCAGAATTATAGACTTTTAAGGAACAGGACATTAAAATGGGACCCTTCCTGCTCAGTTCTGGCTGGTGTCTCAAAGCTGAGCCACTACGGTAAATGTCAATTTGCTTGGCAGGTCAGGCTGAAAGTTTGTGAAACCCATTGTTCAACTATTAGCTCATTATCTACTTCAAGAGTGAAAAAGAGAAGTTGCAGATTAACCGGGGAGAGATTGTAGAGGAAGAATTCCCTTGGAGTGTTGCCAGGGTACCAGGCAGACCATCTCCCCATCCTCCTGTGGATGGAAGTAAAGGGGTGTGTCCCCTCCTTGAAGCCCGGGGAACGGACTTCAAGAACTCTGTATGTATTCCGGGGGCTTTTGGAGATATGTGGAATGATGGCTGTCTCTCATCTGGAAAATTCTAAAGACTGAAAGCTGGCTGGAGCAGCCCCAGAATGGGGTGGAGGGGTATTGCTCTAAAACAGGTTGTATGTCCACCCCCAATGTGGGCCACTGTACAAGTTTCCCTTGGGATTAGATGTGGATCCCACAGAAAGGAGCTAGCTGTGAGCTCAGAGCAAAGAGGAGGACCCCTGGGGGCTGATGGTCAGGGGTGGTCACCCACAGCAGACACTGCCCTACATGCAGTTGGGGGCCCCAGGTGGAGAATCTCCAAGGAAACCACAGAAGCACCCATAAGAGAAGGAGCCAGCAATCGCACGGCCACAAAGAAGGTCCTGATACCACGATACACCTGCCACCTAAGGCGGTACCTTCTCCCAAACCCTTCTTTCCCTGAGCCAGATTCCCCTTCCTACAGCAAATCCATAGAAATGAGGGTGGACAGTTCCAAAACAGTCATGCTCAAACAAAAGATGGTGAGTGACACTGACCCTGAATCAGTGAGGAATGCCAAAGGGAAAGCCTGGGAAGGTGAAGCCAGAGGCTTCAGTTGTGGAGAGAAATTAGGCAAAGGGGTAGTTGAAAACAGAGCAGATGTGGCTCTGACAGGGAGATAGGTGGAGTTTAGGAGCTGGACAGCCATGGAGCCCTGCCCATCTCCCATCACCTTCCGCTCCGAGTACAAGAGCGAAGGGATGGGGCAGAGCCCCAGGTGGCTGACCCTGGGAGGTCCAGGCAGGGGCACCCCAAACTAAGCTCAGCTGTTGACATGCCCTGCCTGACAGCACATCCTACTCCTCCCATCCCCTTCCTGAAACCTGCACGTCTCAGGAGCAGCTACTGCCCCACCCCCAGTAATCTGCACAAACAGAAGCAGAAAACAGATGAAAGAGGGAGAGATTCCAATTTCAAAAGAAAACACACAAGCAAGGAACACTACACATCTGAGGAAAGGCAATGCTCCAAAAGAGAAATAACGCCAACAGTGGAGTGCACGTACGCCTGAGGAAGCTGTGAAGAACACGATCCAGTCAGGACTCTAATACTCCATGTTCTCAGGGAGAGAAGGGAGCATATTACAGCCTTGAAACAAGGACAAACTATTATGAAATAAGAACAGTGGTTACAGAAGAGAATCAATTAGAGAGCTTAGAGATAAAAATAAATAACTGTTGAGAGAAAGTCTTCTGCTGAAGGGCTGGATCACAGAAAAGACACATCTGAAGAGGGAACTACAGAATCGGGCTACAGATGCCCCGGATATTATGGATGATGGGAGAAGAAGGGGTGTCTGGAGAAGGAAGTCTGGTGCTGGGCCCCGTTGCTGGCCTGACCTGGGAGAAACTTCCACCCAGGGTAGAAACAAAAAGAAGTAGGTTCCAGCTTTGCTGCCCAGTCCAGAGGCTACAAGCTGCTGTGTCTGCTCTCCTTGGGTGTGATCAACCACACCATCATCTGCTGCCTGTTGCAATCGGTCCCTGAAGGAAGTGCCAACCTTATGCATTTATTCCAGTAAAAAGTCAAATCGTGGTCAGGGATATTGTGAAACAGAACTTAAATTAGCCTCATCTCTTGACTTCTCTACTCTATCCTCTGAAAATCTTATTATTGTGTTGTTGGCTCTATTCAAGAAAAATATGTTTGTAAGTGAAAAACTCTATCTTTTCAACTGCCTTTCCAACTCTTTTCAAATCAAGAGTACATCTTGAAGCAGTTTCCAAGGAAATTCTAGAAGATATCTTGGACCTTGATTTAATCTGTCTCAGAAACAGATGATTTTGTCCAGTTTGTACCTGTGAAGAGATAATATTTGGACTCGTTCCATTGGCTCACAGATTTGGTAGCCACCATTTTGGAATGTGAGCAGATAAGCTCAGGGATGGAAGGACTCATGTTACTGGGCTATACGTGAACAGGCAAACTGAAAAGTGGTGGCTCCAGTGAAGAGTCAGCAAAGACCCGGTAGCCAAAATGATGGTGGTAGACCTGTACTTCATTCCCCAGTGCGGGAACTATGTGGTGACACTATGCACCATGCTGGAATTCCAACCAGCAGAGCTGCAAGTGTGGTTTTGATGCTGAAGTATGGAGAGACCAGTTCTACAGCCAAAACACTGAGAAAGAGCCACATGTTGTAAATTCACCTTTTAGAAGTCACTGGAAATTCCAGCTCATTATGGTAACTGGATTTGCTAAGAACAGTGGTACACTTCATCATCACACAACATCAAAAAACCTAATAAATACCTGGATATATATATTTTTTTTCTGTTGTGGTAGCTGAGATGGCACAATTTACTGCCTTGGGGATGTCTGCTGGTTTTGCTCATAGTGTTTGTTACATTGATAACTTCAGTGTGTTACAATTACAACTGACTATGGTATATTTGGTTTTACGGAGGTTTATAATCCAGATTTTGTACCAAACACATTTGGTGATGAAAGAAGATATAAACTAGAAAATCAGGCCAATATTGGAGAGTTTAATTGAAACAAGTTGTTATAAGCTCTAAACCTATTTCTGGATCCTAGTTAACAGCAGTTTACCACTCAGGTAGTTGTAGGGGCAGGGAGGCAGGTACCACGTTCATTAGTACACAAGATTGAAAGAATTGCTTAAAGCCAACTTGGGATTACTTGGAGAAAGGGAAGGAGATGATGATTGACTTGCATTTCTCTGACATCTCATGGAGAAGCTGGTTTTACAATGCCAAACAATGACATTTCAGCTGTTTAATGAGATTACTCACAGCCAGTTCCTGGGAGCTTAACATTCCTCAGCCATTCTGGGCACTGAATAAAATTTCAAAGCACAAACTATTTTCTGCATGGGTGTCCCAGCACCTTTTAAGACTGAAGAGTAACATGAAAGAATTAGATGGTGAAAGAAGGAAAAGAATGACAACAATTAGTCCTCGATCTGTGCTGAAGAACTGGATGGTAGAATCTGCAGGGCAAAAGTAGAAAGGAATTTTTCAGAGGTTCATTCCTAGCAAGGTCTTCAGCATCCTTTGCAGAAGCATTCTACAGATGAGAAAGCAGGCTATTCTTTGCCTACCCTGTTCTCAGAGAAGTTGCTCATCTTAATTTGGGGAAAATAAATTAAGGAATATTTCTATCATCAAACTCAACACAGAATCTCTTTGATAAATTCTTAATGACATCGCACTTTGATGACAATCCCACATTTGAAAATGATTATATATAAAGATATTTTTTTCCATCCACATAAACTGGATCTTATTCTTTGGGGAAAATATGTGCCCTGCAGATGAGAAGAGAGGCTGATGTCCTGGTGGCATGAGGCACGACCTCCCTGCAAGTGTCCGTGCAATGGAGGAAGTTACTGCTGGGCAGGAAATGCGTCCCATGTCACTGGAGGTGTGAAGAAGAGATTGTGGGAGAGAGCCAAGGATCAAATGCATCATTGAATTTTATGTTGTGTGACATCCATGAGGTTATTCATTTTCTTCAGCACGTTTTTGTCATGATTTCACATCCAGACTTTCCTTCTTGGTTTTTTTGGGGGCTGGTGGGTAAATGTCATATGCAAGGTTTCTTTCCAGCTCTCCAGATGCAGTTTCCAAGTCCTTCTAGGGTCTGCTTTTCCTTGACCAGAAAACATCATATGCACACAGGGTAACATATCACACCAAAGTTCAGGGGGGAAAATGTGATTTATCTCCCACAATTATCCTGGGCAAGCATGCTGCCCTCCTCACGACTGAGTCTCTGAGCAGCTGTGGAGTGCACCTGAGCGGGTGTTAGTGTGCCAGTGTGGGTGTGGGTACTTTTAAGTCTGCACGGCCCGAGACGGGTGTGTGAAAGCGTGGTGGAGGGGGAATCACGTAATGTGATGTTTCCTGCCAATTTTAGTTTCTTATGAAAAAGTTAGTATATATGAGTCCTATAAAGCTCGACAATAGTTTCTTCTTTTTCTGAGAAATGAGCTTTCCACGAAAATCGAGCTGCAGTTTCAATTATAATAAACACACTTGAGAGCTGATGGGAAATGGAAATTCAGTTCAGTGATGATGGCAGTGTCTAGGGAGTCAGTATTTTCCACAACTTCGTCCAGGTCGGGTACACAGAAGGCCTCCACTCCCTCTCCCAGCTGGGACGGACCCCCCTCCTCTGAGCTCCAGTAAAGCTCATGACTGCATCTCTAGAAGGAAGCTCACTTTATCTTTATTGCCCGTCTTTGCAGGACACAGCTTATCTCATCAACCAGGCTGGGAGCACTGCAGGGGCAGGAACCCCACCCCCACAGCACCACGTGGGCTTAGCAGACAGAAGATGAGGAGAGCTTACAGAGAATGAAGACACTGAAGGCCTCCGAGACTCCAGGAGTGGAGGATTAAAGTGGCACCTGAAGGAAGTTTCATTCATTCATCAGACACTCACAGAGGCCTGTGCTGGGTCCTGAGGACACACTGACAGTACCAGTGCTCCGCTTGTCAGGGTGGGGGTGGGGAGCAGAGCTAACAGCCTTAGCATCCCTGGCTAAGAGGGGTCCCAGCAGAATCAATCCTGTATTAATGGGAAGTGGAGGAGGGAGGGGTGCTTTCTGCTCATAAGGGTCCAGGAGCGCTTCCCAGAGGATATATCTGAGCTGGGCCTCGGAGGATGAGGAAAGAGAAAGGACATTCTAGACAGAGAGGAAACCATGGTCAGAGGCCAGGAGGTTGTGCAAGAAGAGTGTGCCTGGAGCCTTTCAGTAGGACTGGCTGGCTGGCCCGAGGCCACGGGAAGAAGCAGTGGGAGGTGGAACTGAAAATGTAGGCTGGAAGGGCCTCGAAGGTCTGCACAGGGTGAGGGTGCAGCCCTGCAGGCAGGCAGGTGGCTCAGATCTTCTCTCAGTGGAGAGGGAGTGAGTGATGAGAGACTGCTCTAGCAAATTTCACTGGCCAGGTGGGTGGAGGCTGGATCGTGGGTGGGGAGGAAGAGGTACCGGCAAGGAGCCTGATGCCACACTGCAGGCAAGGAGAGATGAAGGTCAGGTGGGGGCGGGGAGAGAGGTGAGAGATGTGCACATCAGACTGGCCAGTCTTGGCAACGCACATATTGTGGCAGGAAGAGAGAGGAGGGAGGAGTTACTGAAGACCCTGCTTTTGAGTCCAGACAACTAGGCGAATCATGGTGCCATTCTCTGAAGCTGGGAACATGCAGCTGTGGGCTGGGGAAAATGCTGAGTTCAGGTTTGGGCGTAAAGAGCCCCCGGACGGAGACTTCCAGCAGAGAGGATCCGGATAGGATCAGAGGCAAGGTCAGGCTTAAAGGTCAGAGAGGGGGTGGGCAGGCCTGGTGGTTCCCTTGTGTTGGAACCCTCCCCTCTTCCCAGTACCTTCTCCCCTTTCATTCCAGGATGGCCGGAGGCTCCATTAAGTCCAGGCTTCCCTTCAGGGCCCTGAAGAACATCAAGGACAATCAGCCCACAACATCTCTGATAAGACTCAAACAGGAACCCTTTTTGGAAAAGCAGGTGAGGGCTGGGATGACCCAGCGGGTGAGGTGGGTGGGTCCAGAGCCTTTTTGGCCCCTGGCAGAGCGCCCGGCCCAGCCCCCGCACAGCCACTGCTGGCTGTGCACCTGTAGATGAGTGTCTTTTACTCTCTGGGGCACATTTTCTCTTCTGCAGGGACTCAGGGGGCAGGGCTGGACAAGATGGCCCCTGGGGGCTTCTTACCCCAGGCCCAGCACTGATGTCCTGTGATTCCAAGATTCTGCATGAGCCTGCATTTCCTACATTGACTAAGATAAAGCAGCGAAACAACATGTAGCGTGACGTTTTTCTTGGCTTTGTTTCTTAGGAGCCTTAGTAATGTCTCAGCTGAGGAGGATTTTTGTTTACAAATACTAGCTAGCCGCTCATCCCCTGCTGTGAGGCTTAGTGCTGGGGTCTGTAGTCTGTACGCCCTCCCTGGCTAAAGGAAGCCCCATGGGCACAGGGAAGGGGAGATGACTTCAGCAGCTCACCGGGGGACCAGGTTCACCAGCAGGTCCATCCTCTCCAGGAGATCCAGGGGGTCCAATGAAAACATCGGTTCCTGGTTTTCCTGGAATCCCAGGTAAGCCAGGTGGGCCCGGGGGGCCTGGGGGACCCTAAAAGACAGACACCCTGTTAAAAAACAGTGTGAGAGGGGATAAATATATATGTTCCATTCATTCTTTCCATTCCTGACAACAACTCTGCAAGTAGGGGCTGGTGTTCCCACTTAGAAGATGGGGAAACTGAGGCTCAGTGAGATGATGTGACTTGCTCAAGGGCTCACATGCACAGCTAATTAGCAGGTCTGGGATTTGAATCCAGGTCTTTTTAAGCCCATTATATCATGTTTTCTCCCTAGATGCATGTATACAATAAAAATCCAATTCGGTGGAATTCTCAGAGAAGCTCTTATTTAGTTTTTTGATTACCTTAGAAGTCAGTCCCAAACTGCCTATTGTTAACCCTTGTTTAAAATATCTCTGCAATGTACTAGTCTCTTTTGCCTCTGGCTGGGCTGGCTGATCCCACCAGCTTGGAAGTCCCAACGGGGTCCCGCTCCACTCATCCAGTGAGTCCTGAACCCTTCCAGCCCTGTCACAAGGGGGCAGAAGGGCAGCTGAGTAGGTGTCTAGGTGGGGATTCAGCACAAGGGCACAGAGGAAGGGGTGGAGATGAGTGTGAGGCCCTGGGGACAGAGGTACGAGCCACAGCTGGAAGAGAGAGGTGCCCCCAGGGGGAGCTTTAGGGGGACCAGTAGGGACCCAGCCTTGGGCAAGAGGCTGGGAGAGCAAGAGGTGTGAAAGGGGCTGAAAGAGTGGTCTGGAGAGGGTGGAAGGAGGCTGCCTCAGGATAGGGAGGGTTTCAAGGAGGATCCGGAAGCCACAGTGTGAAATGCTATCTAGATGAGAGGCCAGCAGGTCTCTGGAATGGGTAAAGGGTAGGGGACAGAGCCAGAGTGTAGAGGTGAAGGTCATGGGCGTATGTGCTGTGGAACAGCCTGCTGGAGACGGCTGCCAGGGGAAGGAGGCAGGTGGCAATATGGGGGTCCTGACTATAAGTCAAGGCTCAGTCTCACTTAAAATAACACCGATCAAAGTGGAAAATGCCAAACATGCACAAACATAGAGGGAAAAGTCCAGTGAATCCCAGGAGCTCACCATTAGCCTCAACCGTCATTAGCATTAGCAACATGGCCAATCGAGTTTCATCTGTTACCGTCCCACTCCCTCCCTCCTGCGTCCTCCGGAAGCCTGCCCCAGACGCCAGGCCACTTCACCCTTCACACTCACTCTTAACAGCTCCTCACTGCGCACCAGGTCCCCAGAGCCAGAGCCAACATCCAAGCCCCAGCCCAGGCCAGAGCCTTCAGCCTCTGCTCCCACCTGCAGAGAGAAAAAGTTCCCACAATCTGATTTCACCTGCCACTCTCCAAGGACAGCCATGCCACTGAAAGTCTTCCCATATTCTGTGGTCCCGTAACTGCTGCCAGCTTTCCTTCTGGACTTTCCGCCCCCTCCCCTCTACAGCTGCCCTCCTCCCTCTCCCCCTCCCAGCTGTGCGGCCAACACGCCACCAGTCCTCAGACACAGGACACTCTCACAACCCTGTAGCCTCTTTTCCTGCCTTTCAAATCCCTACTCATCCTTCAAGGCCCCATTCCATGGTCCCCTCCTCCACGAAGCCCCCCACCCAACCCCATTTTCAGACAGACTTCTCTCTCCTTCTCCGTTCCCACCAGCCTCTGTGGACTTCTGGTTTTGGCAGTAGGACCACCTGACTTGAAGCTCAGTCGTGTATGTCTGTCAGTCCCTCTAGACTAGGACTCCTTCAGGGCTGGCCCAATCCCGAGACACCTCTGGGCGCCCAGTGTCAGCATGAGATCTGGCATCGAGAAGGCACTCAGCATGTACTTGTTGAATGTCATCAAATTCCTCCCAGGAACAAAAGGGAATTTACAGAACACCTTTAGTGGTACTTAATTCCTGAAGACGGGAACCAGGCGAGGCCTAATTCAATCACTGAACAAGGAGGAGCTGGGTTAGGGGTTAGAGCTGAGTTTAGGAAGGTGGCAGTGGTGTGTGTGTGGGGGTGGGAGGAGGGAAGTGGTGATATGGAGATGGGGAGACCAGCTAGGAGGCTGATGCCACCGTCCGAGGGCTGAGGAGGTGCTGCACAGCTAGACTGGGTGCTTGGGGACTGACTGGATGGGAGAGGGGGAGGGGAGGCCTGCGGGGACGTTTCCTGGTTTCTCTCTTGGTGACCAGAAGATGGGGTTCATTCCCAGAGCAGGGAACCCTGAGGGGAGAGCAGGTCTGCGGGCAGGGTGACGAGTCCATCTTGGGACCTGGGGCCTTTTAGGGCACAAGATATGAACTGGTGTAAATAGATTCTGCTCCTGGGCTCCCTGAGAGAGCCCTGAGGTCTGACTGGAAGGCACGTGGGGGCTGACAGGAAGGGTCCGCCTGTGGCTTTTTGCTGCATTCCTGGCCCCCGCACACTGTGCATGTGACGAGCCCAGGGCGAATCTCACCGTGGGTCCAGCGGGCCCAGCAGATCCAGGGAGACCAGGAAGCCCCTCCTCAGCTTCACCCTAAAGAGAACAAGGTATCAGTGGAGCGCTGGACACCCCTTCCCACTGTGCCCTCTTCTCTCTCCAGAAACTGTGCTCACCCTAAGATAAGGCTTATGCAGGAGTTCCATATACTAATTTGTTGAGCGTGTACTATATGGAAGGTAAAGTTTTCCTTGTATTAACTCATTTAATCCTCACCACAACCCGGAGAAAAGGTCCTGTGATCCCCATCTTATGCATGAATAAACAGAGAGGGGTGGGGCAGAGCCAGGCGTGATGCCCCGCTCACCCGCTGCCTTGGGTGACTCTGAGATTCAAAATGATCCTGAAGATACTCCACAGCGAGCGCTCCCTTGACTCTCCTTATTGTGCTTTTAAAACTATTTGCTCAGGAATCGGGGCATTCAATTCCTGACCCAGGCACACAGGGTGACCTGTCTCCATCAGGGACGTGCTGCGCATACATCTCTCCCTTTCTCTGCGCCTCCCCTCCTTTTTCCTTAGAGCTTTTAAAAAATCTTATTGGAAAAGTCAGAAGCCCTCTTGGGTGGAAACACTACCGTGTGATAGGAACCTATCAACCCGCACCTTTCTACCACTTGAAGGCCACAACTGCTGACATTTAGGGAGGGTAGTCCTTCCAGGGTGTCTACGTGTATCTATTTTTAAACCATTAAGACCACACAGTATACTCATGCTCACAACCAGCTTTTCTCACTTAATATTATGTGGAATTTTCCTCCATCACTAACTACTCCTAATAAGTATAATTTTAACAGCTGCATAAAGTTCCATTATTTGAACATCCTTTAATTCAATTAACCCCCCTACCATTGGCTAGTTAAACTCTGTCCAGTTTTTTTCCATTATGGACAATACTGAGATTAACCTCCATGTACATGAAGCCTTTTTACATATCAGACTGTCTCCTTTAGGGTCGATTCCTAGAACAGAAGTGCCTGGGTCAACATTATGCAATTTTATGGTGTTACTATGTGTCGACAAAGAATTTCTCAATTCCCACCAGCCCAGCTGGTCTCACTGGGCCCTCACCAAGTGCCAACTTCTCAAAGCAGAAAATATAAAGCATCTAAGGACAACTGGTCCAGTTTCCCCAACAAATCAATGGCAAAAAGGAAAAAGTAGGTGGGAGACAATCACAGACTAAAAGAGACTTAAGAGACACATCAACCAAGCCCAGCGCAGACCTTGTTTGGATTCAAATTCAAACTGTCAAAAGGCATTTTTAAACAGCTAGAGTATTAGAAAACACGAAGGAGCCATTGTGAATTTTGTTAAGTGGATAATGACATCCCTTATTACCACTAATGGATGACACTGTGGCTAAGGAAAAAAGAGGTCCCAGATCAACCTATTACCGATACGCATTAAAGTATTTCTGAGTTAAATGATATCTCTGGGATTTGCCTTAAAATACTCCAGCCTTCCCCTTCCCTCCACCCCAAAAAATGGCCATAGGAGGTGGAACAGCTGGCATAATGTGGATAATTGCTCACGCTGAGTGATGGGTATGTGGGGGGTTATTATAGTATTCTAAGTCCTTTTGTGAATATTTAGAGTTTCTATAATAAACAGTTTTTTTTTTAAGAAAAAGGAAAACAAGAACTGGCTCTGTGCAAAGGCACACGGCCAGCCAGTTCTGCTGCACCTGACGCGGCATCACCGCGGGGAGATGCGGTCTTGGTGTTTGTGTGTCCCCTGGGGTGAGGAGCAGAAGAGCAGGGGGACTTTGTTTAGGGAGTCACAGTGAAGGAGCCGGGGGCCGCAGGCATCACAGCCAGCCTGGTGGGGGCCACATAAGTTGCCCAGTAGAGGCTCCTCTGAGCAGGAGCCCTGGGACACTAGGGGCTCCTTACTTGGTCTGGCAGTGCACTCAGACACCTGCAGTGACCTAAGCTGCCAGGTGTCTCTAAGATGCAGAGAGGGTTAAAGCCCAGAGTTCTTGCTCACCCCCTCCTTTTATAGATGGCAACATGGAGACTCACCACGAGTCAGAACCTCAGCCTCCTGGCTCCCAGCCTGGGGCCGCCCCAGGGCATGAGCTCGCTGCAGGCCAGCTTACCCAGGTTCAAATCCCGGCCCTGCTCTTAAAGGCCTGCCACAGCAGGCACGTTTCTTTCCCTGAGTCTCACTCCTCTCACCTGGAAAATAGAGATGGCACACCTCGTACGAGGGTGGAGAGGTACACAGAATCAGATCAACTTGGAACCCAGAGTGCTTAATAAATGTCAGTGCAAATGGCTTATTTCCTGCCCCTTGACTGTGAATTCCTTGGGGATAGGAACGAGGTCAAATTCACCCCAATGCTGAGTGTCTGGACCAAGGGCCCTGAGTTGCTGTGCACTGAGTCAGTGAGCATGTCAGTGAGTGAACGAGCAATTCTAAATAAAGGGGCAGTCACAGGGATTGGCGACCACGGGGCCAGTGGAGCAGTGGGTCTTCAGGACTCCCAGTGGGCTCTCGGATGTCCCTCCCACAGCCCCTCCTGTCCCAGGTCAGCCCTGAGCTCTGTGGCAGAGGGACAACATGACTATAGCGTGAGTCAAGGCTCTGAAAGCATGTGTGACCAAGGGCTACTCGGGGAACTGGCTGGCCCAAGCTGGTCACCAATGGAATACTTTCCCTTAAAAATATTGACATTTGAAGGGCAATTTAATTCCCCAATTGACACGAGCCCACGCTAAGGGCCAGCTCTGGGTTTCCCATTTCTAAGGGACAAAGTTACAGCCCTTAAGTGGCGACAACCTCCCACATGTGTACAGAGCTTTCCAAACATTCCCTGACCTGCATTCTGACTTGACTTCACAACCACCCTCTTCTACAGATGAGGAAGGAAACTGAGGCCCAAAGAAAAGGATTTGCATGAGGTCCTACAGTTACAGTCCAGAATCACAGAAACTCACATTTGAAGGGAATCGAATACCTTCACCCCAGCCCCCCTCAACATACACACACAACCTTTGATACTTCTATTTCCTCCACAGTCCCTGCCAAGTCTTACAAGCCTTCCCACCTCCAGGATGGGACTCTCGTGACATTTGAGATGGGGCCTCTGTATCTTTGGGCAGCTCTGCCTGTTAGAAAGTTCTCATTTCAATGGAAGAAGTGGGCAATATGGGACACAAAGCCAGGTGCCCTAGATTTTCACCTCTTGCTTTTTCCTCTACCATCTGTAGCTTCCTTATGTGTTCCCAGATTGGAAGACCCTCAAATGCCCAAATTCCACACTTTGCAAACCAAAATGAAAACCCACCCCTGAGAGAGCCAGGGGCAGGCCCCTCCCACAACTATGACCTTTCTTTCTCCTCTCTGTAAGACTGGCCAAGTCAAATCTTCACTCCTCTTTAGGAAGTGAAATCTTTGCTTACCAGAGGGACCCCCCTTTCAGGAGCCACCGTGGGTACGGGGAGCGGGGGCCCCTCCGGGGGGGCGCCGCCCAGCTCTTCTGCCCCAGATGCCGTAAAGGGCTCCTCGGTTGCCACTGCTACTGAGTCTTCATCGCCAGGACCCTGAGAAGCCAAACCAACACGGGGAATCACGTCACCTCACCCACGATGCAATGTGCGCATGGCTGCCGGGGAGTTTTGTTGACTGTCCTTCCAGGTGCTTCCTTGGTGCTAGGCCAATTTCAAAGCACTTTCCTACCTACAACTGTCATTACCCTTTACTGCCAACACATTCAGAGAAGCACAGGCTCATAATCTTCTTCTGAAACGTGTCTCCTCTAAGCCCCCTTCCCAGTAAGAGGCGCTCACTGCCTCTCCCTCCAGCAACCCATCTAACTTTGGGCCACATTCTGAGAAAGTGCTCCCTGGAGAAGCTGGGGTGGCAGGGTCGGGACACAGCCTGCTCCCCTGACCCCTGTGCCATGCTCCTTCAGTTACACTCGGCCACCCTCTGGTTGGTGCTGACCCAGTTATCCGTTTTAGCGAAGCTGCACGTGCATTTGGCTCTGGGAAGCCTGGAAACTGCTCCTGTCTCAGGACCCTGACCTCTCTCCCTGCTGTGAGCCAGAGAGGATGCCAGGAGGCACTTACAGAAGTGATCACTTGCTCGGGGGCCGCTGTGGGTGTGAGGGGAGCCAGGCCATCGGTGGGGACCCCGCTGGCCTCCTCTTCCTCAAAGGTGCTGAGGGGCACTTCTGCTGCAGCTGCTGCTGTAGTCAAACCTCCTTCACTGATTGGACTCTGAAACGAAACTGGCGTAAGGGATCATGCCACTTCGTCCACACCCCTGGTTGGCGGGTGTGTGACTACAGGGAGGACACCGCCGAGGCTGTCACATAAACACAGGGCCACAGTGCATCTACGACCTTGCCTTAGCCCACAGAACCCCAGAACTCCAGGTCAGAAGGCCCCTCCCAGGTCACCCCCTCCCTGCCCCAGTAGGAGTCCCCAGCACACCTCTGCCAAGTGCCTTCTCCCAGCCCGCGCACCCTCAGTCACGGGAGCTCCCCTCCTCCACAGGAAGCCCTTCTCTTTCCAGACAGCTCTGCTAGTTAAGCTCTAGTTTCTGCTGAGGAAGGACTCAGTAGAACTGGGAACTGCTCCCTAGTTTTCTTACCTGTGACAAAGGACTTGCCCTTAAAGAAAAAGGAAAGGGGAGGAGGATGGGATGAGGGATGAAGGAGAAGCAACAGAAGAGGAGGAAGGAGGAGAAGGTGGTGGTGATGACGATTTGTTAATTAAAATAATCCATGTAACGGCCAAGTGGCCTGAAGAGCTCGTCACCTGGCCAGGGCACGTGATCCCCAGCGTCAAATTTCCCTGCATGGACGCCAGACCCGGGGTGAAGGCTGGAGGAAAGTGCGGAATGACTCAAAGGCCAGTGTTGATACGGGATAGCCTGACGACCCCGCACTCACTCAGCAAACAACTGCTGAGGCCCCAACCTCTGCAGGAATGAAGACAGACCACTGAGCAAGACGAACACGATCCCTGGCCTCTCAGAGCCTGCAGCCTGGTAGGGAGCCGGAAATGAACTATTTTATTTAGTGAAAAAGTTCATTCTTAATTATAATTACGATAAGGCCTTCCAAGGAGAAATTTGGGGTGCCATGAGTGTGTCTGATGGGGAGACTTCACAGCCTGGGAGGCACCTCCCAGATGAAGTGGGGGTTGAGCAGAACTCTGAAGGATAAGCAGGAATTAAAGGAGGGGAGGGAGGTTCCAGAGAGAGGAGAGAGAATGGGAAGATTCTAAGCCAGGAAGGAGAGTGGCGTGTTCAAGAAACTGAAAAGAGGCCAGTGAGGCTGGAGCACCCAGAGCAGGGACAGTGGCCTGAGATGTGGTCCCCGAGGCTGGCAAGGCCGGACCCTGCAAGCCTTGGAGGCCAGGTTGGGGAGCAGGGTCTGCAGCATGGGCAATGGGAGGCCCCTCGCAGAGAGCTGCCCCCACCAGGAGGAGTCAGGGGAGAGGACAGAGGAGGCCAGGAGGGGCCTTAGCCATCACCTGGGCTAGGGACACGGTGGCTTGGTCCAGGCGGCTGGCACAGGAGGAGGATAGAAAGAGGCAGATCTGTGATGTGTTGAGGTGGGAAAATCAGCAAGACTTGACACATGATGGAATGTGGCAAGTAAGCAAGAGGGTGGAGAGTTCCAGATAAGGCCACTGGGGGACAATGGTCCTATCATCTGAGACAGGAACGAACACAGGAGGGGTGGAGGTGAGTCTAGGTTTGAATCTGTTGAGTCTGAAGAACTTACAGGACATCCAGTATAATAATATTATAGGACAGACTTACAAAGTGTCCTGGAATAATCACGTCCTGCCTTCAGGAGTTGGAAACAGTGTCCCCATGGTGCCTAAGGAGAGCGCTGAGAAGGCCTGGCCATGCCCTGGGACCCTGCCAGGCCTGCTGCACCCTGCCCCTCCATTGCCCTCTGACCACTTGCGCTTGTGCCCAGAAATGGGCCAGGCTGTGCCCTGCATCACCTCCTCCACTCACACCCTGGCTCCTGACCCCTGTATCAGCCCTGGACTCACCCCTACCTCACTGACTCACCCATCTCCCTACTGGGCCACTATCAGCCTGTGCAGTCCCATGCCTCCAGGGGCCACAGCACGTTCACCCAGGCACTGGCAAACTCCATATCTGAGGGAGTATTTGGTCAGAGGTGCACCCTCCCCACTCTGGTTCCTCTGGATTTGCTGAACAGAACAGAGATGGGCCCACTGAGAAGGTCAGGACCTGCTCCCAGCCCTGAACTCAACCTTCCAGCACTTTACATCCCTTACCAGAGTGACCCCTTCCCCAGGGTCCTGGATGGACATGGAGAGGGTCAGTCCTCTGGTAGGCTCACTGCTGGCCTCTGCTTCCCCGGCACTGCTGATGGGCACCTCGGCCTCCCCGGCCACTGTCGCTGCTGAACCTTCTTCATCATCTGGACCCTGAATAGGAAGACATCACAAGGGCCCCCGTCCATGATCCACTGTGCTGTGACTGGAGGGAGGGGACTGCAGGGCGCCTCCTGCACCTGCATCCTGTCACTCTTGTGCCTTCAGAGCACTTGCCCACCCACAGCCTCACCTTACACCATTGCCCCGAATGTGTTCCCACGTGGAAGACTGGACCTTGCATACAGCCCAAGGTGTGAGCCCCAAGGCCAGCATGCACCTGTGTGGTTCACCCCGCACCCCTGCCAACGTTAGTGACTCGGCGCTCACTGTCCCCACCATCCTCCTTCCATGACTCCCGAGAGTGCAGCTTCCACTGAGCACCCAGGTCGTGGTGCTGGGACAAAACCCAGGTCCTGGAATGCAGAGCTTCCTTGGTGATGGGGTTGGCTAGCCTCAGAGACCACCTCCTGAACCTCTCTCTCCTAGCTTAATGCCCTCTGCCTTGCACCCCTCCCACATTCTTCAAACTGCCCTCCCCGAGGTCACTAGTTGTCACGGGGACAGATCCAAAGGAAGCTTTCCAGGCCCTTACTCACCGGGACTCTTGTAGGATCTGAAATCGCTGGCCCTCCCAGGGCAAGTCAATACCTCCCCCTGCCCAGATGGAGACACGGCCTCCGAACCTACCCCCCTGCCTCCAGTTTCCTTCCCCCATCCTCCCCCTACTCAGGATTTCAGTCATCTTTCCAAAATCCTACTCAGATTACATCACTCCCTTCTTTAATACCCTTCAGTGACTCCGCATTCCTGCTGGATACTCGGCTCCTTCTCCCTGCGCCCACAGTCTCGGAGGCCCCGCAGGCATGCTGCACGTCTTTAGGACTTTGTATTTTCTCACTGATGCCTCCAGGCCTTTCTCCAGCTGGCCCACCTCTGGGGACACCGTCTCACTCCCGGCTGCCAGGCTACTTCTAAGCATCCCCCTGGTCTCTCCCTTGGCATCCTTTCCCTAGGAAGTCTTCCTGGTCCCCCAGATCTGGGTTCTGGGCCCCTTCTGGTGCTCCCCTGTGCTCTCCTATTGCACCGCCTGCCTCTCTGTCCCCAGGAACTGGGTCCATCCTGTTCACCTGGTGCCCAGTGCAGCACGGCACTCCACTAACATCTGCTGAGTGAGTCAAAAGATGCCTCGGTCTCCAAATCAGTGTCCATTTGGACTTGGCTGTCACTCTGCACTTTGCAGACAGATGAGGAAGCCCAGTGGCTGCTCCCACCCAGACTCCAGAAACAGGTGAAGCAGAGCATGCACTCTGAGCTGCTTACCAGAGTGACCCCTTCCCCGGGGTCCTCGGTGGATGTGGAGAGCTTCGGTCCCCCGGTGGGCACAATGTCGACCTCTGCTTCCCTGGCAGTGCTGATGGGCACCTCGGCTGCTGCTGTTGCTGTTAACCCTTCTTCCGTAGGTGAGCCCTGGGAACAAAGGCATCACTTAGGACTTCATCACTTGCCCATGGCCCTGATCCACGCACCTGTGGCTGGAGGGAACAGACTGCCCGTACCCCTCCAGCACCTTGCATTTCTGTAGCTTCATTTCCTCAAAGCACTTTCTTATCTTTGACGTTACTCCAGCTCCACACAGTCCCAGAATCCCTGTGGCAGGAGGGACTGCAAAGCACCTGTGTCTCCTGTTTGATTCCAAGCATCTATTTGCCACATCAATGACTGGAAAATCACTGCCTCCTGAGACACCTGCTCCAGTGCTGGACACTTCTGTCTAGACCTGTCTGTGTTCCTGTGACCTCCCCTATGTGTCCAGGAGCCATAAGGATAGGATGAATGTCCTCATCCATGACGGCGCTTCAGAGATGCCCAGGTATCAGCCTCGTCCTCAGCCTTCTCCAGACCAGTCACCCCTCTCTTTCCCTGTGACTCCATTTCCTTGGGAAATGCACAGGCAGACTCTATGACAGTTGCACAGCAGATGTAGCACATGGCAACGGAGAGCAGCTTTGGCTGCTGGTGTCACCAAACTATGTTTTATCTCAGTTTCACTCAGTTGCTTTATTTTTCCTTTTACTTTTGGGTGGGGTTTTGTTTTGTTGCAAAAAGTAGTTCCTTTGGATACTAAAAACACTAGCCTGGTCAAAGTTAGACAGACTTCTTTGTTGCAGGACTTCTCAGAGCCTGTATGAAGAAGAATCTAGAGCAGATCATTTCCCAACCTTACGTGACCACAGAATCCTTTTTTTCATATAACGTATTAAATCCTTGCCAAACTATATTGTCCCAAAAAACAGAGAAAAGATGATGGCACAGGATTTTAAAATGATATTTTTTTCTGACTCAATGTCAGCTAAAGTTGCAAAGGGCGAGTACAATTCCACAGGCCTCGGGTACCCTGCATATTTTAAAAGGAGGAGGCAGACCACTCATGCAGGACATGCTAAGTGACAGTGCAACTGAATCAGTTCCACCAGCATTAGCCCATCACCGGCCTCTGGGCTACATAAGAACAGGTAACAAATTTGTTCAGGGGTTGAGTGATTGGAGTCAGAATTCCTTTGGAGAGAATTCTCAGTGTGCTGTGGCTTTTCCCCTCCCCTCTCCTCACTACAAACCATTTGGTGAGCTGGATATGGAGTCCTTCGACTTTGGGAGGCAAAGGGACTGGTGTTTAATTCCCTCTAGAGAAACACCAAAGGCAAGAGCAGGGAGCCTTCTAGACCCAGAGTGAAGGAGACAGAGAGGTGTCTGTCCTGCAGCTGTTTTCCTGGTGATAGAATGATATGACCCCTCCAAAGGGAGCCCGGTAAAGCCATCCCAGGGTGGACTCCACCCAAAGGGCCCCGTAGAGAATCAGGGTGATCAGCAGAGGGTGGAAGCTTGGATCCTCAGTCTCCTGCAGGAGGACCTCTGAGAGTCACAGCAGAATGAGAGAATGTTCTAGCAATCAGATATCTTCTTGACCAGTCACATGTGCCCTTTCCTCCAGGTGGGCCAGACTCTGCAGTTGTTAGAAACAGCTGCTGGAGATGGGGGGTGGGGGGTCGTGATGGGAGGGAAGAGAGAGAAGCAAAAAAATGAGGAAATCCCTAACCATGCTTCCTTCCCTGGCCGTCTCCTGGTTGTATTTCTATTGAATTCTTCATATTATAGTGGACTGGACTTTGGAAATATCTGTGAAAATAGGCTGCTACCATATAGTGACTGGGAGAGTAGAGACGTGTCTGAGTTCTCATCCTAGGATAGGGAAGAGAATGAGCGGACACTGGGTTTTTAGCAGAGGCCAGAAGGGAGAATCATACGCTGGCTTTAATTTGGCACCCTCCTGTGTCCAGCATTTAAACAACTGGCTTTGCAGGTGGAAAGCCAATTACCAAACAATAAAGCAGACATGCCTGCAGTTAATCTGATTCTGCCAAAGGGCAGAAGAGGCTGTGCATCTTCACAACAGGAAGGAGGCAAGTGCCCT